ATGCTAATAAGGAATGACATTCACGGCAATCAGATAACTTATAAGAAACATAAATACCGTATTAATATTTTCAGTTTACCATTGATTTCAATGGACCGCTCTCCAGTACATATTCACAAATCGAGCTCTGAAGTTTACAAAACAAAGTCTCTAATCATGCTTGGTAACTAAGTGGTTTTGTAAAGCTACACAGCCTGAAGGCTGAAATAGTGGCGAGAGGAAGTAGCAGAATAGACCATGAAGAAAGAAAAACAAAAATATATGTTTGAAGATACAAAAGTCACCTCTCGTAAAGCCTTACAACCAGACCGATCAGCATTGTTCTTCCTTGCATTCTCCGGTTGCTGCTGAGTACTGGTTTTCTGCGTCAGCTTTCTGCTTCCAATCTAGAGGCACCATAACCACGAGACACACAAAGCATTGCAACAAACATGCAGCACAACAACAGCACAAGGGCAGTATCATTACTGCTCTACTGAGTCCTCAAGGCAGTGAAGAATGAAGGTTCAGAATTTCATACTGGTATTGGAGACAAACCACACTGTTGGTAGGTAAACTGGGGGAAGCTACCATCTGCCTTCAGTACTCAGTCAGAACAGTACATCCCACCACCAGACCAAAGTGCACCAACATATGTAATTAATCAGGTATTTTCTATATTTATAGTGCTTTATTTTCCACATGTTTTGTTTGGGGTGGCGTTTTTTAATGCCTATTTACTTGGGCATGTGGTAGCTTAGTTGGTTGAAGCACTATGCTAGAAGCTGGAAGGTTGCGGGTTCAAGTCCCGATGAGGTCATTGGATTTTGTTCAATTGACCTAATCCTTCCAGCTGCACTATGGCCCTGGGGTCGACTGAGCCTCTAACAGAAATGAGTACCAGGAATTAATTAAATAATTTTCCTGGGGAGTAAAGCGCAGCTGGCACATAAGGCTGACAACCTTACCGCCATCTTTGAGCCGATTGTCTAGTTAATGTGTGACCCTCAACGTCTCAACAGGCCTTCATGGCCTGTTACAGGGATAGCTTTACTTTTACTTTTATATGATTTTTGCTTTTTTGGTTACAATGCCTATGTTTTTGGTTTCTGGCGGTTTTATGAATCATTAATGTCACATTATAGTACCTGGGAGCCCTGCTTTATATTTGGCAGTGTCTAAATTTAGTATTACCCTACAGATTCACTAGCCTGACATTAGTTATTTTCACTGGGTTTTGGACTCCATATGTCAAGTACTATTCTATACAGGACACAAAATTGGAGAAGCTTGATTAGTTTCCATTTTCAGGAGAGAAAGTGGGGAGGTACCTCCTCAGCTGCATCATTAGAAAGAGTCATTCTCAATCACTGACTCTGTTCAGTGTTGAGATTATCTTTCCTCAATGACCCCAACTGAATAAATTAAGCCCCATCTTACCACATCAGAACAAAAACACATCCTGTCTCTGAAACACTGTGTACTCTTTGGAGTACTAAATAATGGAAAAACTCCAGAAACCTAATAAAACTGATACTGTATCATATGATCATCAGAAACATTTAGAAATGATTTATCTCCAACAATTTTTACAATGTTCCTTGATCCCTGCAGGTAAATTCTTAGAAAGTAAAATCACATGTTCACAAAAAACAGCAATTGCCTTCCAAGTGAGGACTTCATACCAATCTGAATGCCAGCTCATGACATCAAAGTTAATTTTAAATCTATTAAGTTCTTTCTCCAAAGAGACAATATTCAGTTGCCACAAAACTTTCTCATTAAATATTTCTTTAAGTGTACTAAGTGTGTAAAGAAGTAAATTTTACACTTCCCTGCATAAGAAATATATACAGTGTTAAACAGACATGTTCATAATTTACAATGTACAAAAAGAAATTAAGCTAAATATATAAGTAATAAAGATTTCATCCTTATTTTCTTATTTATTTCAGAAATACCAAGAAAATCCAGCAACACAAGTGAATTGAAATTAATAACCTATAGCTCCTTCCAACTAGTATAACATATGTTGCACTGGCAGTCTAGTGATGTAACACATCTGTGAACAATGAAGCTACACACAAATTATGTGTAATTAATAATAGGAACTATTTATTTATATAAGCATAATTTTGGCATGGGACTATTTATTTTATATTGTTCATTGTCTGTGGCAAGTCTAGGCACTGATGGGAGGGTAACATTAAAATGGATATTAAAGAAATAGTCTGTGAACTGGATTCATTTGACTCGGAACAGAGACCACCGAGCAGATCTTGCAAAGCAGGGTATAAATCTGAAAGGTTTCATCAAATTCTGGGAAGTTCTTGACTAGCGGAGTGACTATTACTTTTCAAGGAGGATTTCGCTCCATGGACTGAGTTGGTTACTGCTTGGATCAGAATGCTGCAAAACATTTTGGCGGGTAAGTCTGTTTCCAGCTTCAGGTACAAGCAAGGACAAGGACTAGTGTGGCAGCACAGGCAAACAAAGCGGTGCATGAGACAATACATTTTATAAATTCTTTCATGTTTCTTAACTTTTAATTTCTGATAAATGGAAAATAATTTCTGCATATCCATTGTTCATGTCACACTGTGGTAATTAATTGGCAGTAATCTAAACACGTTATGCAATGGTGCAAATAAAAGTTTTGCAAGACCTATGACAGCAGTGATAGCCTTTTCACATTGTCTGGGAAGTCTGTGTTCTTAATTGTAACAAATCATTGAGGAAGTTGACCTGTTTTTAACTCAGGGAAGGGCAGAATTCCTGAATGCCTGAGATGGAATTTAAACTTGGGAAAGGGAATCTGAGGCTACTCTATTTGTTAGGCTTTTGGAAGAGAGAACATGTATATAGACACCACGAGTTAAGAGGTAAACAGTGATGACCAGCAACATGTTAAAATCAGTTATATAAAGTGAAAGACAATTTTATGTTCTTATGTCACTCCAATTTGCAAGATAATGTCAATCAGCATCCAAATAAATGTACCAGAATATGCTTTCTTGAATACAGATCAGAAGTACTAACCACCCCATTGTGGTATTTGACAGTTATGCATAAATCAATGTCATATATTCTGATGATTATGCAAGAAAACATGCTATATTAGATATGGATCTGGTTGAACTGCTGACAACAGATTTAGTATATGTTATTATGTGTGTGTCTTTAAATATGAATATTATTTACTTGAAGTTGTGTGTGTTCTTAAACATTACATATTACTTTCTGAAGCTGGAATGAATCATAGAAAATACAATAAATCTAGCTTCTACTACAACACCACAGATAACGCTATAGATTATCAATACACACCAATGTGGCTCTCTAGACTCCAAGTAGCACCTTGAAATTCTGTTCAGAATTCTAAACCTGTGTCACACAAACACATCACATGGTAACATATCACTTGAACAAAAAATTACAAATATAGGAAGACTGTCAAATTTTCAGTACGTATTTGCTACAGTTTTGTGTATGTGACTGACCTCCATGCTCGTTTACTTTGGCTAGAAAATATATTGCCACAGTATATCTCATAGACCCATGATTCGTTACATTTTATAATTACTTACATGTTAAGCTAGATGAATTCTGATCTCACTCATATGAACATTGAACAGTAGTGATGTGTTTGTACCTCATTCATTTCCACAGATCCTATATGATAACCCTTCAGTAGTAGAAGCTGAACGTTCAACATTTCTAATATCAAAGCCTGCCATTTTACATGATTTTGAGCCAGTTCCGTCCACCTCTGATCCTCACAACCTACTTTCCTGAGATTCATCTTACTAACAACAAACTCTTGAGAACATAATCAAAAGGTTAATTGCTACTAATACCAAAGTAAACCACTGGACACAATCTTTAGGCAGTTCCAGCCACTTCCATCCCTTACAACATGTTTCCCTAAGATCCTTCTTACTAATTAACTAACTCTCTGGTAGCAGGACCTGAAGGGTCATTACCACTGATAACAAATCATATGATTGGACAAAATATTTATCCCTCACAAGCTATTTCTTTAAGAAGACCCAAAACCTTTCTGTACCAATATTCACTATACATTTCTCATCTTTTCTTCCCTAGCTGCATACACAGCTCATCTTAATGTCTTAGATTTCACTGCCCTTATAATACTTGGTGATCTGTATAAATCACTATGTCCTGTGTTATGTACTGATGATAATCAAACGCTGCCTTACTTCATAATTCTTCAGGTCGTAATATTTTTCTGAGCATTTTGTATTCAAACATTCATGATTTTTGTTCTTCCCTCACAGCAAGGAATCACAATTTACAAGAAATCAAAACAACTAGCATAACTAGTTACACAGAAGTTCTGCAAGAATGTGTATAATGTTAAACATCAGTAATTTGTATACTGTTAGAAGTTACTGATGTCATGCTCACATAATATTAGCCTAGGGGTGTAATACTAAAAGTAAATGTGGCAGGGCAGTCTTGCACACAGTTCTGGGTTGAAAGAAGTGGGCATGAATCAGGATATGAAGCCAATCTTTTTATTATTTAATGACAGTTTCACACTTTCAAATGCAGAACTGAACAACAATCAGCTCATGAAGCTGACATACTTAAGAGGCTGTTACTTCAGCTTCAAACAGAGAGCTAATAAATTAAATGATCTATAATTTATTTATGTTTGATATCACCATTTTTATAAGCACCATGGCGCCACTCTGGCTTGACTACAGCCCTGATAATACTGATATATTGACCAGACTGTCCCAAACATACATGTTCTCCCACTGGTGTCAGTTTGGTCAGACCAACAATTCAAATACTAGGCTATAGCTTGTGCAGTACATTTGGTCTTGATAACATATTTAAACCAATATTCTAAACATCTGTTTAGTTTTAATTCAAGTTTAGAATTCTATCACATTCCTATATGTGCAAGAATGCATGCACACACACGCACACACATACACACGCAGAAAAATTTGAGATCTGTGGAAATGTGTAAGTAGAAGTGGTTCTCTTACCATAACAACAAGCTGTGCCAGCATGGGTACGACACCATAGTCAGTGATGATTGCCAAGTTTTCTTTGTCCTGTGCAATCTTTGCCAAGGCTGCACACACACAAGCCAGCACACTTGGGTCAGTGGATTTGAGGAGACTCAAAATCAGCTCTAAACCCCCAACAAAACTCCTTACCATCTCACCAGGATCCTGTTGATGGAGATTCAGATTTTACATTTAGTTTAACCATCATGCAAACTTGTTAATGAACCATACAGAACTATCTACAAGTTTAAGTACTGGATACTTTATCTAACCAATTACATCAGCCAGATTTTTTCCTAGGAAGTTAACAGTTGCTCAGCTACTCAAGAAATTCTGTACATTTTATGGAACTTGAACGATCAAAACAGTCTACCTCTGGTCCCTATCCTGTAATAAATGAGTACAGTCCATACCCTCCCATACTATATCCTAAAGATCAATTTTAATACTATCCTCCCATCAATGCCTACATCTTCTAAGTTGTCTCTTCCCTTCTGGTTTCTTAACAGAAACTCTTTATGTATGTCTGATTGTTCTTGTGTGTACTACATGCTCCAGCTCTCTTATCTCCCTTGATTTGACAGTCCTGGTAATACTTAAGAATTCGAATTACAAAGCTCGTCATCAGCACCCTATTCACAGACACACTCAATTTATGTTAATATGACAGTCAAAATTTCACACCTGTACAAACAGGTAAAATTATGGTTTTTCATATTTTAATCTTTATATTAAAATCATCAGTAGAGACCATATGATGTGTTGCATTCAAAGCCATTCCTGATGTTCTGGGACCTTCCTGATAGTATGTCCCAAATCAACCTTGGTACTATGAAGATTCAAAATGTTGGACTAAGTATATACACTCATATCTCAACCTATGGCTTCCCAACTTATAATCCATCAAATTACAATCATACCTTGACCTATTATTTCCTGGAAATTCTGGGCTTATGGTAAAGGTAAAGTTGTCTCTGTGCTTAATAATTAAGCACTACACCATGAAGGTATATGAGCACTAGTTTGAGGTCAGTGGTCAGCTTCATGCCCTGACTGCTCAACCCCCAGGGAAAGAATCCCCACTGCTCATTAGAAGGGAGGTTGAGTGGTCCCCAGAACTGGACTAGATCAGTGCTTCTCAACCGCATCTTTAAAATCAAAATATTAATTAATGTTGGAAGTAGTGTTAAGAATTGAGAGATTCATACATTTTTATTTATCAAATTACATACTTTACATATATAATTATTTGGCGTGTGTATGTGATAATAAGTGTTTCACTGGCAAGTTGACATCCTTCTGCTTCTTCCCCTACTCAGCTGACTTCTATGGTGAGTTACAATGCATAAATATTTTTCTCACTGCCGTTTTTTTTCAAACCAACATCATTAAATGCATGATACCAACTCCATCTTCAGTGCAACCATATATTGTAGGTCTTTCGTTTTGCTCTCCTTTACACACTACATGTTTCGGCCACAAACGGCCATCATCAGGTGTATTACTCACGTATCTGTCACACTGCACTTAGTTTAACATTTAAAATTTAAAAACACAGGTCTTCTTGATTGTTCTTTTCGTCGTTATTACCAAAATTTATTTGTTTGAATATAATGATATAATATATATAATATAATAAATATAATATTGGCAACATCATTCAAATCAATTTAATAATACAACAATCAATTTTACACTGAATAACATAAGTTTTTGGTGATCAGCATGGGATATGTCAATGAAAATTAGCACAAATTAATTTAATGATGTTGGTATGAGGAAACTACAAAATGCTACAAGATTTCATTAGTCCAGTGATTGATAACTAATTTAAATGTAATTTTATGTTTGTCAACATGCCACACTGTATACATAAGTGTACTAATGCTCTTTATGATTATGCTATAATTAATTACTAATATTACATTAGCTTAATGCATTAACTTTAACAAAACTGGAAAGGTATTTACAAGTAAATTTATTGGGACTGGGCCCTCGTCTTATAAAAAAAGAACTTACTGGGCTGTGATCTCATAAAGGTTGAGAGCCACTGGTCTGGATGATGTGGAGAGGAGAAAAATCTTGCCCCCTGCCAGCACTCAAACTCTGGCCCCTTGGCCACCCGGCATGTAGCCAGTCATTATACTGACTGAGCTATCCCGGCTCCTTTACTCAGTTTACAATCAGATGAAATTAAGGCCCATTAGACTTACAGTCTGAATTTTTGGATTTATGTCTTTAAAACTTGAATTTCTCATTTGCAAGTATGCCATGCTATAATGCTCTGGTGGTTAAATTAAAGTTCTTAAAGAGTTCACGGAAAAATAGGAATTACTTATTTGTTTTATGTTATCTGATGTCCCTTTATTAATTCCATAATAAAAACAATAGAATTGTGGGACACAAGGTATTAAAATACTGAAAAACATGTCTGAGCCTTGAGCTCTGAGTATGTAACCTTACTGTCCCATGTTATAATGACCTCAACTCGTGATTCTTTGACTTAATATTCTTCAGGAATACAGGGCTACTACAAATGATTCATTCCTTTTAAAACGCTGTATTTTCCAAAGTATTACACGTACAAATATGATTGATATATAATGGAACCGTAAACTCACCAAGTTTGTATTGTGTGCACCAGGTGGCAGCACGAGTTCAGAGCCTTTACAAAATGGCGACAAAGTAAGAAAAGAGTTTTTGTTTGTTAGAATATGCGAGATGTTCGTCTGTTATAGCAGTGCAACGCGCATTCAAAAGAGAGTACGGAAAGGAACCGCCATGTAAACAACATTCCGGGGATTTTGTCTTCCAACAAGACGGGGCACCCCCTCATTGGAACATCAATGATCGTCGCTACCTAAACAATGAACTTCGGCATCGCTGGATTGGGCGTGTTGGTGACGATGACGTAGCTCTGTTCACTTGGCCCCCCAGATCACCTGATTTAACGCCTTGTGACTTCTTCCTTTGGGGGTACATTAAGGATCGTGTTTACGTACCCCCACTGCCAAGAACACAAGTAGAGCTGAGGGAACGCATCGATGCTGCAATGATGACCATTTACAGGATGATGCTACAAAATGTGTGGAACGAGCTCGACTACCGCCTGGACGTGTGTCGTGTGACCCAAGGGGCACACATAGGACATTTGTAGAGTGTGAAGAAAACTTGGTGAGTTTACGGTTCTTTTTATATATCAGTCATATTTGTACATGTAATGCTTTGGAAAATATAGCGTTTTATGTTTCTGAAGACAGCATGTAACAAAAAATATTACTATCATTTTTGTCATTGTCCACTGTCATGAGCTTTTTCAATAACAAAATTTCAAAAATTGGACCTACTTATCATTAGATGAAGGGGGGAAAAGGTTCCCACTTAGTTGGGTTTGGAAACATCAGAAACCTCTGGAGTAAGAATCTTTCTTCCTTCACATCTGAAGACAATAAAAGATCCAGTTTCCAAAAAGTTTTTGGACGTGAATCAGTGCAATAGGACGCTAAAATACAACATGATGGCGAGCAGTGCAGTAGTTTAACATAAATGACACGCCTGAGGATGGTACAGTGATGCCGAAACATGTAGTGAAGTGACAAGTGAGATTGTGTGCACTAGAAGATGGTCAGTACATATACATCATGGTTGTTAAATATGCTTGTTCCATTACCCTAGCATTCTGTATACATGGACACAATGCCCATGCAGCATTTGCTTGTACTGCAGGAGAGGGGTGCTTGAGCTGTGACCAGATGAGGCGCACACCATCCAACATATCAATGATCTCCATTGACTCCATTTCATGTGCACACTCTCCAAGTACGCGGCACACATTCTCCAACATGGGACCACAGTTCCCATTGAGAAGCATAATGAGTTTCGGAATACCTCCAGAGGTTCGGATCTCCGTTCGGTTCTCTGGAAACTTGGCGCATTCTGCTAATCCCCCCACAGTATTTGTCAGCACCTGCACAAATAACACTAGGATTTTTAATTGGACCATCACTACTTCCTCCCCAAGCCTTGAGGGCAGTGATTCTTAATCAGTGGCCTGTGTACTACTACTACTAGAATGTGGTTTAATTTATGTCAGTTTAAAAACTATAGTTAACATGTTACTAATTTTACCAGTGTTGGAAAAATGACTGTTTTATATCTAGCATCTATTTCTTAATTTGTCTTTTCCTTCTAGCAACTGAATTGTTGTGTTTTACATTACTGCTCTTGAAGATTACTTTCTTCTGGGATGTGACACAATGTCATGTCCTTGACTAAAATTTAAGAGTGCAGCTCACTTGAGGGTTCAAAGGGTAGAAGTGCCGTATTGTGCATGCATAATTAAAGCAACACAATATCACCTATCTTAGTCAAGCTGCTGCATCAGAAGCATAAATCAAAGGTGCATGTCTGTTCTCATGGTAGGGAAAGCAGAGCAAATTTTAATGTATTATCACAGTCTCCAGCACGTACCTTGTTTGTATATTTAGACCAGTCTGCAGTTACATGTCTTAATAAAGTTTCTGTGATGGCACATAGTGATTATTTGAAAGCTTCAAAAACAGGATGCAACATTATAAGGTCCATAACTTTTAGACTTTTAAACATGTAAATATTTGACAACATATAAATAGAAATATTTTGCAATTGTACACAGTGTAATAATGGGTTTATATTTGCAATAAACAAACATAAAAACCAAAGAACTATGCTAAATGACAAATAATATACATGTAAAATATGTGTACTTCACATTGGAGTACATCTTTATATTCTAGTAAAAGTAAAGTAAAAGTTGTCGCTGTGCTTAACTAATTAAGCACTATGCCATAAAGCCATATGAGGGAATGGGTGTATAGATCCACACTTTCTTGACCTCAGCACTAACTGGAGGTGAGTGGTCAGCTTCACACCCCTGCTGCTTAACTCCTGGGGAAAGAGCCCCTGCTACCCATTGGATAGGAGGCTGGGTGGGCCCCAGAGCTGGTCTGGATGACGTGGAGAAGACAAACTTCTTGACCATACCTGGACTTGAACTCTGAACCCCCTATCATCTAGCCTGTTGCTATACCGACTACACTAACCCAACGCCTCTTTATATTCCTGTAAATTTGGTTAAATTTAAATCTAAAGTTTAGTGACATCTATTATTAATATAAGATATGTATTGGATAATTTGCATTCTTTTTTTTTTCATTTTGATTAATAAAGATAATGTTTCACAAGCTTCCCCTGCTTCGGTCATCAGATGGAAATATTATACCTGCTTTAATGAGGTTAATCTGTAACTCAGCAAAGGAATAGACACAACCGTGAGTACTGGAGCAGCCTAAGTTATGGCACTTCCCTACTACAGAAAACTTACCTCCTCATTCTCATCACTGAGAAGTGAGACAAGTGTTTCAACTGTGTTCAGCTCGTCCAGTCTGTGAACATTTTCTGCGCTCATGGCACACTTCCAGATAGCTCCTGTTACTGCAGCTAGAAGAGGCTTGTCATCCCAGATACTCACATCTTTTGCTAGTTTCACCAAAGGGTCCAGTCCCCCATGCTGACGAACTAAATCCCTTGTTATTGAGTCTTGGGCACACTGTTCCATAACAGACATCCATTTAGTAATAGATAATACATTTAACTCCCTCCGTTGACACATAACAATATTACAGCTAACAGATTCATTGAAAATTGGAAAGTTCAAATATTTGGAAACAACATTAGAAAATCACTACTGTCTTCAAGAAGAAATTAAGAGCAATTTAATTTTGGAAATCTTTGCTACCATTCAGTTCACAATTTTTGTCTTCTCATCTGTTATCTACAAATATAATGTAAACACATTTTAATGAACCTAAGTAGTTTCATGTACTCAATGAGATTATAGCACAATACTTCCCACCTAACTGATTCATAGGCTTTCTTTAGGTCTATGAATAGCTTATTTGATGCTATTGACAAGGTTTGTCTAGAAGTAAACACAGAGGAAAGCAAATATGCAGATGCAAACGCTTCATAACTAGATTGCAGGATAAAATCATAGCATAAAGATAGCTAAGAGGCAAAATGCAAATATTTGGGAACAACACTAACACATCAAAATTTTGCCATGAACAAATTAAGAGCATATTAAATTCAGATAATGCTTACTACCATTTAGTTCAGAATATTTTGTCTTCTGATCTGTTGTCTAGAATTGTAAAAATTAAAATACACAAAATTAATTTAGCCTGTAGTTTTGTATGAGTGTGATATCTGATCTCTAAAATCATGGGAAGAACATAGGATATTTCAGAACATGGTGCTGCAGTGAATATTTGAATCCAAGAGGGAGCAAGTAGCAGGAGTGTAGGAAAAATTGCATAATCAGAGGTTTCATAACGTGTACACCTAGCCAAATATTATCAACATTATAAAATCTAGGAAGATGAGATGGGTGGTGCTTGAAGCATGCATGGAAGAGAAAAGACATTCATAGAAAGTGTTTATGGGAAGACCTGGAGGAAGATGACCACTTTAAAGGCACCAGTGTAGATGGAAGTATAGTAACAAAACTGATGTCAATACAAAGGGATAGAAGAGAGTGGACTAAGTTCATTACACTCAGGATAGGGACCAGTGGCAGGCTCTTTTCAGCAGGGTGATGAGCATATTCTCCAACCTGAGCCTGGTTACTCTGTACTCACTGAGAGCCTTGTTCAGAATATTTCATCTCCAAAGTTCCACCAACAAAGAAGAAATTAATATCTTCAAGAATGTATACAGCCATGCAGTCTGATAGATTGTTACCAACACTTTATAGTAAATTCATACATCAATCTTCAGGGTAGATTCTTCTATAGAGTCCTCCATAGCATTAGCAATAATAGACCAAATCAAATAATACTGCATAGAAGTAGATAATAATCTTGATAGTAACCACTGTGAGAAAATCAAACCTCACAAAGGCAAGCAGAGTAACAAAATGCACAGCAAGACTTTTCTCACCTTGAATATGGCTGAAGCACAAAGTTTCTTCAGCTCCTTGTTGTCATCTGTGAGATGCTGGACAATGTCTGTGACCATGCCTTCTGTCTGGACAGCCAACTGGTATTCATTCTGGAAGTGTCATGTTTAAGAAGGCAAGTTAGGCCTCATCTAAAAATGAAAGTTGTTGTCAATTTATTCCATTTCGTATGAATACTAGTATTAACATATTAAAATGCAACCATTCTGGACATTGTATGAAAGAGAAAAATCTATTTCCCCTTCCAGGAATCAAACCCCCATTCCTCGGTCATCCATCCAATATCATAGTCACTACACTGACTGAAATATTCCTGCTCCTCAATCTGATCCTGAGAATAAAACTAACTATCTAACCAATTAACCAACCACCTAATTCCATGGAGCTGAGTCCTCCTTGAGAAACCACTAGTCTCTCACTTACTCAAGAATTTCCCAGTATTTTAGGAAACCCAAAGCTTTATTATCGTCTTCATTCCTGAGCCAAACCACTCCATTCTATACCACCCCTTCCTATTTCTCCATGATCAGCCATAATGTTATCTTAAGTATTTTAGTGGTCTCTCTCCTTCTGGCTTTTCCACCAAAAACCTACACTCAATCCTCATCTCCCTCAAGTGTGCTACATGCCCTACCCATCTACCCTCCTTGACTTGTTCACTGGTATTACATTTGGATAACAGTTCAAGTTATGAATCTCCTTATTATACAGTTTTCTCCCTCGTCTTATTATTTTATCCCTCTTCGATCCAAATATGTTCCTCAACACCGTGTTCTCAAATACCCTCAGTCTATGTTCTTTGCTTAATTTTAGAGACCAAATTTCACTGTCATAAAAAATTAATTTTGTGTACTTTAATTTTTACGAGATTAGACAACAGGTGAGAAGACAAAAGGTTCTGATCTAAATGGTAGCAAGCATTACCTGAATTTGCTCCCAATTTCCCAGGGTTCAAATTTTTATTTGTTACTGTCTTTCCCAAATATGTTTGCTATGCCACATTTTCAAAGGATCTATTAGCTATCTTTATGCTATAATTTTGCCTTGCATTCTGGTCATGAGGCATCAACATATATCTGGTTTCCTCTGTATGTACTTCTAAAACAACCTCCTTAAAAGCATCAAATCAGCTATTCATAAACTTCAAAGAAGCCTACGAATCAATTAGGTGGGAAGTATTGTACTATAATCGCATTGAGTCTGGGATATGTATGAAACTAGTTAGGTTCATTAAGTGCATTTTAATGAAACCTATATTTAAGTCCACATATGCAAATATTTTTCTAATATATTTCCTATTCAGAATTGTCTAAAACATTGAGAAGTTTTATTGCAAATGGTTTCAGCTTTGCTTTAGATTATGGCATTAGGAAGGTCAAGAAAACCAGAGAGTTTGAAATATTTGTTGTGTCGATGGTAGCATAGTTCCTACATATATAAAACCAGGTGGGACTGAAGATGAATGGGACATATCAGCTTCTGGTCTGTACTGATGTTATACGAGTACACCTACTTGGAGGTGACATGCACATTGTGGCATATTTGCTCATGATGGAATTGTGAAGCAAGCAGAGACAGCTGTTGCTTGGGAGTGGCTCTGCAAACAATGTCTGTTGCTAGGCAGTAACTCAGGAATGATGGCATGATCAGCCCAAGAGACACAAAGGGAACAATAAAGTAACTGTGGGAAGCAGTATTTTCTATGAGATCCATGCCAAAATGTTATGCCCAGGACAAGTTAGGAGTTAATTAGTTAGATAACCTCTGTAGTTCAGCAGTTGTGAGCTGTTTGCTGTTAGAAGCTGGGGACCATTCAGGAATGCTGAGGATGGGGAACACCATTACTGAAAACTGCTACCAAGCAATGGCAGAGAAGACATGACTGTGTACACTAGTGTGCATGTAACTGCGAAGTGTACGGTGTAGTCACGCATTGTATCAAAGATCAGGATGGGAAGGCATAACTTTGTGGAACAGTGAAGCAGTGTGCTGCCCAAAGTGTAATAACCACATCATTGGGAAAAAGAGGTAAAGAAAGAATTTTTTGGAAACCTAGTGACCATGAAAAAAAAATGAAGAAAGGTTTCTGTAACCCTGTGTTTAGGAAAATAAGTGATGGAGTTTCAGTGATTATAAGGTATAAAAAAGAGTGGTAAAAGGTTTTCAGCAGTTATAAAAAAGGTAATGTCAAATGTTACACTGACCACGCAATTAGCAAAAGAGTTACTGAAGAAGTGTTTTAATGACCATGTGGGTAGGATAGGATGTGCTGAAAAAATTTTAGCAAGCAAATGGCTTGGGAAGGAGATGACAAATAAGATTTTACTGACCACAATTTTAAGAAGAGAACTGATGAAAAAGGTTTTAGTGACAATATGGATAGGAAAATTGGTGCAAAAAAGTTTTGAAACCCAAGTGGTTAGAAATGGAGGTGAAGAAAAGGGTTTCAGTGACCATATGATTAGGGAAAGAGGTTGTGAGAAAGCTCTTTTTGACCACATGATTATCAAAGGAAGCGCTGAAGAAGTTTTGATAACAAAGTGGCTGGGAAAAGACTTGTGTGCCCTTTGTATTGGCTCAGTAGTTGTTTAAAGAATATGGTTGAGGGTAGGTTTTGACAGAAGTAGGTGAAGCCAGACGTCAATAGGTCTCTTTGCTAAAACACTGGAAAACCTTCAACATCTTATGAGGCTTATTCCGTGAACTAAAAGTTATACTTTAAACTCCAGCTATGAAAACCTAAGGACTAGATTTATCCTAGTTAGCTTCATTTGACAGTCTTAATATAAGCTGTAGGTCTCATTTGCCAGATATCATCCTTACACAAGCTTAGGCAGAGAGAGGTAAAAGGATAACTCATTACACTGTGGCCAATTTACCTCAGAAGCACACTGCTGTAATGTGCCCATTATGGGCACTACTACGTCCCCATGAACAGATTTCAGCAGACGGGCCAGAAGACGCACACACCCTGCCTTCCTCATAGCATCCCTGTTTTTCTTGGACTGGGAGATGGACCAAAGTGCTTTGGCTCCTGCCTTTGCCACATGGACCTCCTTCTTGTCTTCTGGAGAGAGAATGTTGATTGGTGTGGTGAGGACATGTTTGCTGACATCCAGCAAATCCACCTGTAGCGTTTCAGGATGTTTCAGTGCTGGTGTATAGATGGAGTCATATCACGTATAATGGTAAACATGAATAATATTCCATGATTTATTTCACCGTCTTCTAGTGCATACACTTATCTACCTCACTCCTCTCTCTCGCACTACATGTTTCGGCACAAAAGTGCCATCTTCAGGTGCTTATTCGATTAACGTTAAACTAGTTCACTAACGTTGGCACTTTTGTGCCGAAACATGTAGTGCGAGAGAGAGGAGTGAGGTAGATAAGTGTATGCACTAGAAGACGGTGAAATAAATCGTGGACTTAAATCAGTGCAACAGGACGCTAAAATATAGCATTATGAATAATATTGGTAAATTTTGTATATCCATGGTGGTGAGTGCCAAATCTTCTGGAATGTCACACTGTGTAACTTGGTAGATGGGTTGCACAATTTTCAAGGAATCTACTATCTCCATGAGCTCATAATATTGATATTTAAGAAGAACTTGCTGCCTCCTTCTTCATGGTCAATGTGACATAAAAATAACATCAGAGAGTTTGCATAGGAAATATAATAAATTGGCATTGGTCAGAAATATTAACTATTCTTCAGTCAGACTTTCAACAAATCCATTTGAAAGAATTAAATTCCTTGCTGTGGGAAATACTGTCACTACAATAGGAAACCTCTTTGTGAGTTGAGTGATGGAATTGTGCCTTTGACAGTACATTTAAGTTGTGTTGTTTATCTAAGAAAATAATTTTATTAAAAACTGTGGAATCCCTTAGCTTTATTTTGTTTGTCTATTCTCTTATTCTATGACACTGTATTGACTACTGATGTTATGTAGTTCTGAATGAAATATAGTTTATGAATTGGGAAAGATGAGGAAGTCAGAACCTATTTGAAGATGTTATTCTAGCATTAATCTGGGGAACTGAGGAAAACCATGAGAAACCTGAGCCATTCAACTAAACCTCACTCACAGATAGAATCTAATATTCTGAATGCAGGTCAAATTTATTACTGCTCTTTAGCAGTTTTTTACAGCGTAAGAAGAGAAGGTTTTTTGTAGAGGTCATGTTCATCCACCTGTCTGTCTCTCAGTGCCTATGCCATTGCACAGATATTCTTCAAATGCAATATGACAGACTTTAACAAAAAGTTTATTCTGATTTTCAACCGTATTGATCCATAACAGATCCTAGTTTATACAAGGCCATAAATGGATATTTCTGGCATATGAATTGTTGACCTGGTTGTGTTGAAATTGGATGTAGATGAGTTCTCCCACAACTTGTCAGGAAATTCCAATTTGAAGTCATAGTGATCCACATTAAAGCCTAGTTTGCATGAGATCATGAAAGGATTTTTTTTATGTATCTCATAAAATCTTCAGCACATGATGTTGAAATTCATTGTGGTAAGATTTTACTAATTTTCTTTTAAATACTCCCATGTTTATACAACCTCAATAAACATCAAAGAACATTGTTGTTAATTTTGTGAACTGCATTGTGCAGCACACCCTTTGCATTGTTGTTATCAATATGACTCTGAGTGACAGATGATTTCACACAGTAATTACCACTTTTGGGATGCCATTACACTTCCTGACACCTCGCCTTGCTTTGTGGATCTTGCCAATGTTAGCAATGGTCTCAGCTGCCAGAATCTGTAGGTCCCTAGCTTGGTCTGATAAGATAATCACAAGGATAGGAATGGCTCCCAGATCAGTGATACCACGACGAATGTCTGCATTCTGTGAGATCTCACTCAGCACTGACAGCGAACCCAACTAAACATAACAAATAATGATAATTATCAAAAACTGCAAGCCACAATAAATAAAACTGTAAATGAAATGTGTCTAAAACGTCTCTGGGAGTGTGTCGCGGCAGAATATAAGAGGAATAGAACAGCCCCCCAAAATAAATAGAAATTATACATTTTATTGAGTAATGTGTTCCTCTGAAATCACAAAAATTAATAAGTTAATCTGTATTTCTAGTTAAGAAGAAAGTCGTCTTCTGGGTTTTGGCGCCATGTATTCTTCGTTTTGGCTGACCTTTCGGAGGAACGTATCGCCTCCATCTTCAGAGCAGGTGAATGGCTTGTGAATGCAGAGAGCAGTAGCTGTAATGATTAGGAAATGAAAGGCGCAGCACAATGAAAGGTTGGTCAAAAATACATTAAAAGCAACTTCAGTGGACTGGAGATATGTGAATTTATTGCAGTGTCTCAGTTTCTATAATAAATGTGTGGAAAAGTAAGTTCATTGTCTTTCAGTGACCATCTAAGAGCATAAAAATTAAAATACATAAAACTCTAATTTTACCCATTACTTTATAAGGACATGAAACTTCATCGGTCATAGTAAGAGATCACCTGAGAAGACTTAAAGTGTTGGAGAACAGGGTGCTGAGGAAAACATTAAGACTAAAGAGGAAAAACGTACAGGATACCAGAAAAGAAATCCATAATAAGGATTTTCATGTTTTGTACTCTTCATAAAATATTTAGATGACCAAATTAAGGATTATGTATTGGGTGGAGCATGTTTTTTTGAATTGAATTTATTTACATTCTATAAATCCTAAGCAGGTTAGTACCTTTGGATACAGAACAAGTCAAAATGTTACATACATAAGTACAGGCAATTTTAGCTTAAAAATTAATATAACTTAATTTTACATCATTCTCTATTTACATTGAAGTATTCATCTAAAGAGTAGAAGGAATGAGCATGTAGATAATTCTTTAACTCTGATTTAAACTTTTTAGTATCATTGCCCAAGTTTTTAATACTTTGTGGCAGATTGTTGAACACTTTTATGCCAGTAAAGTAGACTCCTTTTTGATATACTGATAAAGTTGATGAGGGTAGGTGGAAGTTATATTTTTGTCTAGTATTCATGTTATAGACATCAGAATTTAATTTGAATTTATCTTTGTTGTAAACAACAAATAAGAGAAGCGATAATATGTATTGCGATTGAAGAGGTAGAATTTTTAATTTCTTAAATAATTCTCTACATGAATCTCTACTTCTACATCCTGTAATGATTCTAATTATATTCTTTTGTATTTTAAAAATTATTACACTATGTGAAGAGTTCCCCCAAAATATTAATCCATAGTTCATAATAGAATGAAAGTAGGCATGGTAAACCATCTTCAATGTTTCCTGTGACATAAAAGGCTTAATTGATCTCATCGCATAGCAAGCTGCATTTAATTTAGGTATAATTTGTTCAATATGTATTTTCCAAGACAGTGTACTGTCTACATGTATTCCAAGGAATTTTGTATCAAGTACTTTACAGATTAATTTGTTGGCATAACTGATGTCCAGATCAATTTGGTGGTTGTTTTTAGTTGTGAATGATATGTAATGGGTTTTATCAAAATTTAATGAGAGTAAATTGGCTTCGAACCATCTGTTTAAGGCTTCAAATACAATATTTATGTCATTTTTAAAGTTTTCAAATTTAGAGTTCTTAAATATTATACTAGTGTCATCTGCATATAGAATTGGTTTAGATTTATTGTTGATGGTTTTAGATAGATCATTTATGTAGAGAAGAAAAAGTAAGGGACCTAAAATTGATCCTTGTGGAACACCGTGCTTTATAATTCCCCAGTTTGAAAATGCATTATGACTGGAGTTTTTATTATTTATTTCAACTCTTTGATACCTGTTTTTGAGGTATGATTTGATCCATTCATTAGCTTTGCCAGTTATTCCATAGAAATTTAATTTCGATAGTAAGATATCATGATTAACACAATCGAAAGCTTTTGCTAGATCACAGAAAATCCCTCCCACAATTAATCTGTCATTGAGAGCACTTAAAATATCGTTAGTTAGTTCATAGGTTGCTTTTTCTGTTGTTAGGTCTTTCCTAAATCCAAATTGCTCTTTGACTAATATGTTGTTAGAATTTAAGTGTTCAAGTAGTCTATTATACATAACTTTTTCAAAGACTTTTGAGAATGAAGTCAATATGGATATTGGTCTGTAATTAGAGATGCATTTTCTCTCTCCTTTTTTAAAAAGTGGTTTCATTACAGCGTATTTTAAGCGTTGAGGAAAAGTACCTGATGATAAAGATTTATTACATAGATGATTCAAGGGTGAACTGATGTAAACAGAGCTTGCTTTAAGTAATTTGGTAGAGATTTCATCATATCCATGTGAATTTTTGGGCTTAAGGGATTTAATAATGTTTTCAATTTCCTTCCTTGTTGAGAATTTGAGATTTATATTTGGAAATGAATTGTTAAAGGCACGTGACAGATAGTATATTGGATTATTATTATTATTATTATTATTATTATTATTATTATTATTATTATTATTGGAATATGTTTTCTCAGCTAATGAAAGGAAATATTCATTAAATGCACTTGCGATAGCTTGTGGATTGTTAGTGGACTTCCCTTCAATATTCAAACTTTGTACGTCTTCATTAACAGATTTCTTTCCTGATTCAACTTTCACAATATCCCAGGTGGTTTTAATTTTATTGTTTGATTTTAGAATTTGGCTGTTATAGTTATTCTGTTTGGCTTCTTTAATGACTTTTGACAAAATTTTACAGTACATTTTGTAGTGACTTTTTAGTCTTGGATCATTACTGTCCCTACTGGCCAAATATAGTTGTCTTTTGTGTTTACATGAAGTTTTTATTCCAATTGTTATCCAGGTGGATTTGTTTTTATTTTCATTTTTGACTATTTTTAAGGGAAAGCTTGAATAAAAGATCCTCAAGTATGTGTTCAGAAAGCAATTAAATTTAGAATCAATATTATTGCTGTCAAATACATTGTCCCATGATTCATTACTTAATTTTGTGACAAAATCTGCCATCGTATGCTTGTTGATTTTCCTTACTGTTTGATATTGTTGATTACTGGGCTGAAGGTCAATATTATTTATTTCTATGAGTTGAGCATCATGATCGGATAAGCCATTTATAAAGGGTCCTACAGTATAGTCTCTTAATTTTGAGTTATCAATGAATATATTATCTATCGCTGAACTAGAATTATTTTGAACTCTTGTGGGAAAGTTAACAGTACTGGAGAGATTGTAAGATGATAACAAAGAGTCTAAATTTAGTTTCCTATTACTGTCGATGAGATAGTTTATATTTATATCACCACAAATTATAAATTCAACTTTTGAACTATGCAGTACATTTAGGATGGTTTCTAATCTATTTATAAAGTGATTGAAGTTTCCAGATGGGGCTCTATATAAAGTCAGTATACAAATATTAGAAAAAGGAGAGTCTAACTTTAGAGCACATGCTTCCAGATCCTGGTCTTTGCAATAATCTTCTAAATTTATTTTAGTAAATTTTAGGTTTTTGTGTACAAAAATACTCACTCCTCCTTTCTCCAGTGTTTTCCTACAGTATCTAGCACCTAAATTATAATTTTCTAAGTGAAGATGTTCTAATTCCAGCTGTTTCATGTGATGTTCAGTAAGGCACAGTATGTGTGGAAGATTTGAATTCATGGAGCTTATTAGTTCATTTGTTTTGTTTCTCAATCCTCTTATATTCTGATGGAATATTCTTAGTACTTTATTATTCACTGAATTTAGTAGACTGCAATTACCTTTTCCGATTTCTATTGGTTCACTTACATTATTGTCTGAAAGATTAGTTTCTTTTGCAATTTCTTTTACTTGATAAACTTTACTTGCACTCTTTATCCTAAAAAATGATTCTGAACACCCATGACAACTGGAATGTGTCTGCCCTTAATGCTCTCTGCAATGAGTTGCGTCAGCCTGTCCTTGCCTCGAGGATTAAGATGCAAACCATGGACAGTATGTTCGCTCCTCAATATTGAAGAGACATCAATCGCATCAATGTGGGCTGCGCCGACCTCCACAAGCGAACGCTCAAGCCGAAGATTAATCTCCCTTACACACCTGTTAATCCATGGCTTGTCATGTCGCCAGAAAAGACCAACAAACCTCACATTGGTGTGACTAGTTTTCTAGTATATGTACCACATATGGGAGTAGTCAGAAACGAATACAAAATTTTAGTTAGAAAAATTAAAGGGAAGAGACCTCATAGAAGACAAAGGTATGAATAGGAGGATAGAACTTCAAGAAATAAAGTGGGAAGGTGTGGACTGGATTCATCTGCCTGAGGAAAGATTCTGCTTCGCATAGTGGGGCGGGGGTGGAGTCCAATTGGGTCCACTCGGCACGTCAGCCACTATTTGGCCTATTGTACCTGCACCGGGTGATTATGATGATGGAGAATTTGGTGGAATGAAGATTGGCCGGGGAAACCGAAGTACTTGGGGAAAACCTGCCCCAGCGCCCCCTTTATCCTCCACAAATCCCACTTGACCAGCCCCGGGCTCAAATCCGGGCTGCCACGGTGGGAAGGCACTGACTAACCACTTGAACTATGGCATGGCCAAAGATTCTGATCCTTAGAGCTAGTCAGTCATATTCAATGTATAACTTCAAGATATGTGACATGTAAACTTAGTTTCTGATTACTACTTGTCTACAAATGACCCTGTAGTAATTCAGTAACTAACTAAACCCCATGGAGCAAAGTCCTTCCTGAGAAACAAATACTTGTAGTTGCTTAGCTAGTCTAGAAATTACCAGTAATCACCAGAACTGCCACTGGCCCCATCTTGAGCGCGATAAATCCAGTCTATACCTGTCCATCCCATTTCTTTATGGTGCATATTAATATTATCCTCCCTTCTACATCTAGGATTTCCATTCAGGTTTTCCTTCCATAGATTTGTATGGATTTCAGTAATGTAATGCTATATGGAATTCTAAATCCTAGGGAATGGGTGTACTTTGGCTGGCAAACTTGACTCAGAACCAAAGAAGGATGTATGGTTGTCTTGTTGCATACCTCCTGTTATTCATATTTTACCTTGCACTTGAGATCATTGGTCTCCAGTAGATTGACCAGCACTTCGAGACCACCAATATCCCTTATGGCACTCTGGTTTATCTCTGTGGTGAGGTCGTGATCTTTGAGGCAGCAAAGTGACACAATAGTAGCTGTCTGATTTCCAGCCTGTAACAAATGCAACACAACTCCTCTTGCCATTTCTGACAAGTTAGGCTCTTATGGTGGTGACATTTTACATCTTGCATCTCGCCAATACTTCTGTAAAAATACCGCAGACCCTCAACAATAGAAACAAAATTTCTCTCTTCCTAGAGCGTGAGTTTTTCAAGTTAAATATATTTTAGTATTAATCATTATTGTAATTTCATATTTCTGAGACCTCACATTCTATTCAGCCAACTGTGAAATCCCACCAGTGCGAAGTTTACCACATGAAAAAGAAGGCACAGACCTTCATGTACTTGATGAGCTTCTGAATGTGCCAGTATTCTGATGGGACATCCGGTCCCTTGGCTATTTTCTGCCACCTCAACTCATCATCCTCTTCAGAAGAATCTGATGGAATGGAGTCCTCACTCTCCTCTTCTGCCTCTGACATGACCGCAGTGCGTTGTTCTGTTGTGGGAGATAAGTCTCAGTCTTCTAAGCTAACTCTGTCAGGCTCTCTGAATTGAATGCATACAGAAACAAATGGGAAAATTACTCACTCACTAAAAATGATATCTGAAGTTCTTGCAGGTGTGAATATGAAGATCACAGATTTACAAGATGTGATTACTAAATTACAGAGTCACATCCAAGAAATACAAGGTAAAGTTGTCCTTGTCCTTACTAATTAAGCACTGTGCCATAAAGGCGTATGGCAGAGTGGGAATATAAATCCAGATTTTCTTGACCTCAGCACTAGTTGGAGGTGACTACAAATCCCAGAAATAATCTCGAATTACTAAATCTGACTCCAAATGAAGAACACAAATTGGGGGGGGGGGGGTTTGGGAACAATTCTGAGGACAAAATTTCATCCTAAGAGGGAGGAAATAATAGGAGCCCAGAAATAATTGTGTAATGAAGAGAGTCATAATCTGTTCCCTTGTTATACGTTATTAGGACGATTTAATCAATCAGGATGGATAGGCATGTAGCACGTATGGCAGAGATGAGACATGCATATCAACATTTTAGCTGGAATACATGAAGAAAAGAGGTCACTTACTTGACCTAGGCATAGTTGGGAGGATAACATTAAATCAGATCTTGGATAAACAAGGTGGAAGGTTGTGGGATGTTTTCAAATGGCTCAGGATAAGGTCCAATGATCGACTATTTGTGGAAAAGTTATAAAATTTGGGTTCCATATGAGCAGGGAATATTTTAATCAGCCGAACGTCTACTTTCCCAGAAATCCTCTGCACCATGGTTTCAATTGCTTAGTTACTGGTGCAGTTAGGGGTTATGAACAGTTAGATCATTTTTTAAGTTATTACGAGTAATTTACCGCCTAAGATTACACGTTTTGCTACGAAAATATACTTACTACGATCAAGTTCTCAAGAGATAAAAAGTAAGATGACATCCCGGACTCGAACCCGAGCATTCTTTCAGGATCATAAATTAACACCCTTCGTAACTGTGGAAAGATGAGAACTCCAGTGAAGCGTGTATCGGAAGTGTTGGCCACTGAGTCAAGGCTGAGAATAGGTGCAGACGCGAGGAGCCGCCTTCTACCTTATTCCGGATCGCCTGAGTTTGATCAACTTATTTCGAATGTCCTAAGATGCCGTAACTATCATTCTCAACAACGATGCATGTAGGAACAAATTCACGACCATATACTGCACAATTTCCTTCTAATATTTGTTGGTCATTCCCTGGGCTTTTCTCCTGAATTGGTGCGTGTATCTAATTCTGAAAATCCATTTCCTCTCATGACCTAGATGAGGTTTATGGATTCTCCGAATTTGAGACAAGAACAAAATGCCAGGATTCTGTTATGTGATGCTTTCCGTGTTTCAAGTCGTTGCTAATCAATGACTCGTATAAGGCCGAGCTTTGCACGGTTCTGCAACTAGTCTGTATTCCATGAACGTTACTTTGGACTCGTAGGCAGAGGTAACTCCATCGGCATATTTCGTTGCTTGGTTGAAGAAAAAGAAATACAAAAACTACGTAGGATAAACGCAAGTTTACGTTTACAAAACATTTACAGACTCTCATTTTAATTCTGTTTTCTTAAGAAATCAATCCGTAGACTTTGAAATGAGGGAGGTGTCAGTCCTAGCTACAGGATTCTGATTTTCGTGTGCAAAATGCAGAATGAGAGAAAGGTGAAGTAGTTCGTTATTAAAACAATTCTCTTGTCTTCGGATACAATAAAAGGTCCAGGAAGATTCTAGTGCATCCTCATTGTAGGTCTATAAAGTTAGTGTCCAGTATGAGAGATAAAGTTTAACGATATAATTTCATGGAGCAGAGTCTCTCGAGAATCTCATAATCTCTAAAATACACGTAGTCCAGAAGTTCCATTTTTTCTTCATGAAGCCGAAAGGTTCATTAACGTAATCAGTAGTGCCTACCGCTGAACGTTATCCTGAGCTAAATGAATCCAGTTCACATCCTCTAATCCTATATTTGAAGATTCATTTTATAATTACAGTCCAATACGCGGCTATATCTCCAAAGTTGTCTGTTCCCTTCAGGGTTTCCGACCAAAACTTTGTACGTATTTCTCTCTTTTATAAAAAAAACGAAAAGTTTGCTTTCCTTGGTCTTATATTGTTGAATGGAAATCCGTTTTATCTCGTCTCCATCTGCACACCAGAAAATCCAGAAAGACGGAGATTGGTGTTGTATATAAAAACATTTGCATGAAAAAGTTTCGTGACTATGGATAAGTAAAATTCGTTAAATGACTGGCGATTAAATTGTGCGACATTATGATAACCAAATTCTTTTCTGCATGACCGCACTGACAAGCTGCCAAATTAGGGTATCGTAAGTGTTCTTCCTACAGATATAAAAATATCTAAAAATTCACTCAGCTCCAAACTAAGGATAAATAATTCGATCAAAATATTTCTTAATTATGTCGTTCAAATAAAATGACAATATCTAGACATAAGTTGCCAGATACAAAAATATTGTATTAGTGAAGGCCGAAATTTTCGATATTTGGCTCCTGTAGAATAAGATACAAATTAACCTGGCGAACGTTGTATGAAAGTTCTTTCAACATATGGGCGTACCTAACTAACTAACTAACTAAAGTCAGTAAGCAGTCGACATAGACTCTTCCATTCAACAAATTCACTGCTTTATTGAACCCGAAATGTTCTTCACAGTCATCAAGGAATCCCTTCAATGAATCTACCACAAAACATTTCATGTACCTACAAACCATTTCTCTAATATTCGTTTAACATCATGATCTCAGAAAGTCCCTTTCCTTGAGATGTTAGAATTAATATTCGATATAGGCCTGTGTGCATTTCCCCCACCCCCGCTGCAAATTCTAGCAGTACCACATAAAGGCAGAAATTATTAGACGCCACATCATGCAACATTTACTAATTACCTACTTGCTTTTTGGTTCAAATATTTCCCTCAACACTTCTCTCTCCGTTTTCTCCACAAAGCACTGATTCGATCAGTAATGACTTATGCTTGCCCTGCCTGGGAATTTGCGGCAGAAACCTACGTCTTAATATCACAGCGTCTGTAAAACAAGGTTTTCCGCACCATTGGACATTTTCCAACGTGTACACCGATCCGCGATTTGCACACGATTTTCAGTCTTCCGTGCGTATACGATTATAAAAGAAATTGTCCGGGCCGCTAGCAGAAGGCAGACAGAAAATGTAAGAGGCTTAAACTTGTTGGCGGTCAAGCTTATGACCGTTCAAGTAATTAAGCTGCCGTTGTAGCATGCGATAAGTAAGATAGACATCATCTGCTTTGTAAGCCTGGACTGTCAGAGGATTTGTATATAGTGCAAAAGCAAGAATTTTCAATAACATACTATATGTGTGATACGTGCATTTGAAAAAAGGCGAAGCCTATTCACAAGGGACAAACCAATCCTCTCGTCAGAGAGGACGCTTCTTAAGGACTATGACCTCAACGGTTCACTTAAAAAAAAAAGCCTCTGGTCGTGATCTTCAAGGTTCTTGGCGCCAAAACGAATTTACCGGCGGTAAACCGTCAATCTTAAAGTAACTCTGACTTTAGTCAGCTGAGTTGAGTTGAGATGAGTGGAGTAAATTGGTTAGTAAGTGAGTCAGAGATCTGCTGCGATGCAGTCGTTGTGAGCTCTTGCTGTGAGAATCTGGTAGCTGAGGCCTGGGAAAGTTCGGGAAGCCAAAAGTAGGGGAATGTCCACCGCTGGAAGCCGCTACTGAACAACGTCCAGTGAAGACGTGAACGTGGACACTAGTGTGTGTGTAATAATGAATTGTAAAGCGTAATTACGCGCTGTATCAAAGATTCCAACAAATCCGATCATCAGTTCAAACCCCATATATAGCCACACTCATAAACGTGACAAACCAGTCTTCCGCCTCTCGACATTTCGCTGATATATCATCACAATGAAGTGCCGTAGATAAAAGTATTGTAACCTCATATCAATTATCTCTTTCTGTATCGGCTGAAACGGACCGAATATTGACTCACAGCCATTCAAGGCGGTCACAATATGGCAAACACTTGCCTCTTCAAACACTTGAAACTGAAAACTAACGACCAATATCAATAAAATTCTTTGTCACTTTAGTCATCGATTAGTTTTATCTTATTTATTAGAATGTAATACGCATTCTTGCCCTTCAACACTCTTCAAAAACAAGGAGTGACCATTACATTAGCTCGCGTTTGAATTGGCACGTGATTAATTTAAACGAAAAAATTGCAACCATTGCTTCATTCTACCTATCACCACTCCTTGAGGTATGTGATAACCCTGACCTTTATATTCTCGATCTTTGTCTCTAATCCGACACTTGACGAGTTGCAGAGATTGTTTAAATAAGACTCTGATTATTGCAACTGGAAACCATACCACGCATTTTATACAAGTGATGTGCAGACGTTTACTGTTAGTCAGTTAGTTTTTGAAGCGCGCTTTATATTAAGGGACGCAATAAATTCGAACAAATACACAGTTCCTATAATATTAGTTTCAAACATGTATCTTACAATTACATATAATTTTGGGATAATTCTATCTTCGTCACAGTGTAACAGAGCCATTGATATGTGGAAAAACTGCTCTTACTTGCATATGGTAAATAACATGAAACGGTGAGGCCAATGCGTTTATAGGACCCGGCGGTATCTGCGAAAAATGCGTTTGCCATGAAAGTAGCATAAGGATACTGAGTTAGCATACATCACGTCCGGGAATGCGCAGAATATATTTGGAAATGAATTCGGTAGTTCTTAACTAAATTAGTGACAAACGAAGCATGTTACGTGTACGGTCTGGGTTAGATTTCCGGCAGAGGCATTGGTGTTTTTTTTTATAGTCACATCCGGAGCGAGTCTTAGGCTCAAACTCAATGGGAGCTAGGGAATTGTCCTGCGAATAAAAATTATCTAAATCTGCCCACTTACCTTCATCTAATATCCATGTTAAAAATACGTGCAGTTTTAATTTGTATATGCTTCTTCATGGAGCGATGTTTTGGTAAGGAATACACATAAGTCATATCAACATTAGAAGACTATTATTAAAAAGGAAAAAAACTTGAAATTTTAATTTTATATGAAAACTTGCAGTTAAATGTAAGAAATGGAAAGAAGTTCGCTGAAAGCGCCAGTCTTTATTTTCTACGCTCAACCCTCAATTTACAGAATCTTGAGCGCACTGATAACTGCATTTAAAATTCACATTATAGCACTCTCACATACCCAGTGCAGTTCAGGAATGTATACATCCATTCGTTGGTTATTTCGCGGTGTTGTCCTTGAAGAAAGCGGTCTTCTGGGGTGTGGCACCGTGTAGATATTGTATTAACGGACATTCCTCCGAAACGTCGGTTAATACAGTATCTACACGGCGCCAAATCCCAGAAGACGGCATTCTTCATAGTCACCGCCGTGAAAACCTCAAATCTTACACGATGTTTTCTTTGACTGTATAGTTACAGATAATCGGATGACGTGAATGACAAATGGGTACGGATGTGAGAGGAATCAGTCAGGCTTTATTCTTAAAATGGACATACTCGTACATTCAAATAATTTGTCTGCATAGACTGAAGAAAATTACGAAAATCTTCGGTGAGGATAGCCAGTCATAAAGCCCAGATGTCAAACCAGGTATTCCCCATTCTGAAGCAGGTTTGATAACCACAGTAGCGTTAGGTTCGGTATTTCGGAAATTAATTGCGGGTACGAAACTTCCAATGCAAAGCATTTTACAGTAGACAAAAACCGTTTGAATGACCTGCAGTGCAATGTCTTCTCTTTCTCCTGGAATGTGCTAATATTTCTCTCAGCCATGCCAATGATGTCTGAGAAAGTATAAAGCCTGTTGGATAATGCAGTTTTAAAGCATAAAAGTGCAGCTATATATATATAGGCCATATACAGACTTAGATACTAAATTTATTTCATAAATATAGATCTCTAACATAAATTGCTGAAAGTAAAAAAATATTCCATATCTCGTCAGATCGTACCGCGAATAAATTTTTCTAGCCCTAAATTCAGCTAAATGATTTTTGAGAATTCTCTTAATACATCATAGAAAACATAATGCGTCTTCATTACAAACACCAACTGGTTTATGAGGTTAAGGGCAATAGTCTCTGTTTATTGCGAGAATCACATAAATACAAATATGTAGGCAAAATGCAGAGTGAGTACCTGGGTGTTAAAAAAGACGATACACTCAGGCCTAGTAACCACTGTTTTTTGAACGGTTAAGAAGTCTACTCGTATTAAGAAAGACTAGTGTCTGATGACTCAAAATATAAACGTTTTAAAGTCTAGAGATTTAGACTACATTTTAATCCAGTTATTCAATCATGATGCATGTTTGAAGTCTGTATGCTGTACTACAGTGTTCGAAAATTATGTGTCGCTGAACACTGATGTCCCCCGAGAACAGCAAAACGTACCGCGCTTCTTATGTACTTTCTCTGTTAACGACAAATTGCATAATACATCATTTCAGCTGAGTATTCCACCTCAGTTTGTAATGTTCTTTAGGTTCAAATGGCTTAATAAGCATTTTTCTTTTTCAAACTTCTCGGGGAGAGGATGCCCGGATTCCCTGTCTCACCTAGAGTGACCCATCTACACACCCAAACCCACCGTGTGCCTCAAATTTCAAATCGATATGGAGCTGTGCTGCAGGTGTGACTGAGAAGTGGACTCAGTAACACTGAAGTATGAACCTTTCAATAGTGGCTTTGATGCCGTCTGGTTGTGTTTACTTAACAGCACTTCCAGTTAAAATTATTGTATAGTGTCGAATACTGAGGCGATTTGTGAGTAATGAATTGGAAAAAGATATGGAAGAAAGCGATCGGGGTATATCCCATCTCAGGACCGAGATTTTAACCACAGATCTCCATTATACGAAGCAGAAATGCTAATCATTCTACCGCAGTTTGGGTCAGTCATGTTGAAAATCTGGTCCCCATTGTCAGGGAGTTAGTTCCGTATGACGCGTACCTCGACTCCGTCAATATTTCCCAAGGCAGAAGAGCCAGAAATTTGCCTGTAAACTTACGTTTAAGCCATTTCTATGGATCGCTCTTTTTATTCGGAATAGAATAATTAAAGATTTATAAAAAATTCAATTTTGGTATTTAATATTTGGTACATTCCATCTATTTCAATTTGAATTTCTTCTCCAAAACGGGGTGGGGGGTTTGCCTGATGCCTGGTTTTTCCACCTTGCCGGCGCCAATGGATTTGTAAGAAGAGGGTAATTGAACAGAACATGGCAGATGCACAGGTACTCGTATAAAGCATTAGAGGTTGTTTTACTCTATTCTCACACGTAATTATTTAATTTAGTTATAAAGGTACTCCCGTTTTTTATTAATCATCTCGCCATGAAGGCATAATAAGGGTGGAGATGTGACTCCACGAATTCTTAAATTCGGCGATGGAGATGAGAGGTATGTCTCATGCCCCTAGCCCGCTTTCACCCCTGGGAAAGAACCCAAGATACTCTTTATATCAGAGACTAGATGAGTTCCAAATCCTATCTTGAAGCTGTGAAAAGCAGAAAAGAGAAAATTCCTACTCCCGGCGATTCAAACCCTTATTCTTCCGTCGTAAATGCCATAGTCTAGTCGCTGTACTGACTGAGCTAACCCGGCTTCTTTAGGCATTTCATATTTACTAAAGAATCGTTTTACTTTCGTGTTTGAAGAAATTTAGCACATGTGTTATTTTGGTAAAAAAATAAGACACTCAAAATTCGAAGCATGTGTCATGCATATTTTCTCTGTTTTCCTCAACTCCGTGTATGCATGTATAAGATAGCATGGTATAATATTTAAATGTATCTTTTCATTAATCACTAGGGACCGGATTTTTATGCCCCAATAATCCCTAAGTATGTATGCATTTATGGATGGAAAACTTGCCAATCACGCACGTAAATTATGCACATAAAACTGTCATGCCAAATATTAAAATTGATTTTATATAATTTTAAGGCCAACAAATCAACATTTAAGTTAATTTTGTATAATCACTGATTGATTCACTTGCAATGGAAAGCTATACTTAAATACAAATCACGCAACAAAGCCAACATATTTTCATTACAAGTTAAGAAAAACCAATAGTACTCACATTTAGCTCTCCAAGTGCTTTCGTGGATTTACTTTCAATATTCTCTTCGTGTATATTAGTGTTCAAATTTTGAAGTACTTGAAAGCGTTTATCACAACCATTTTTCTCACGTGATGGGCAATAAAGAATTTTGTTATCCGTACTTATCATCTCTCCTTCGAACTCCCGCTGATACAGCTATAATTTAGTTTTAATTTATTGATTTGTTATTAATTTTATGCTATCATTCCCAGGTGTCTTATCTTAGTAGTTAGTTACTAACAGTATTAGCAACATTTGTAATATTTCATAAATGTATGTATATATTTCAGTCATCTTTAGATTTATGTTCACAGATTTATTTGTCATGTTTGTATTTTGTTTTAATTATTTTCTGTACCTGATATACTCGTGCTAACTTTGTAAGTGGCCACTGTGCTGTTAAGTTATTGCACGTAAATAAACATGAATTGAATTGAATTATTATTATTATTATTTAACAGTTTACCTACTTCGACTTCTACTGTCATTAGTATGGGATATGTAGGACTTATATACTACAACATGGTAGGTTTTCATTGTACACATACCCATATTTATATTTTATGTTTCCGTCGATTTTTTTTTAAAAAGAAATATATCGATTTAGGCATCATAAGATTCACACGGTTTTCGCCTTACACAGGACCCTTCAGAACGAAATAAACGTGTAAGCTGGGGGCTTAGCAAATACAAATCAAATACTCAAATCATCACGAATATATCACGCTACTCATCAAATAAGCTGTTTCATTTCTGCACAATGGCAAATAATAACATGTAATAATTAAATAATAAATTCTCACAAAGATTACTTATGCCATTTGTCTGCTACGTAACAGGCCTATTCCTTTCGATTGTGAGTCCTTCTTCGACAGCTTCCGGAGCGAAAATCGAACTTAAATCCAAACATTTGAGGAACGACAATGCACTGCACATGTTCAGATAAATATCGACACTCGAGGTTTCTGTTGAGCGTCTGTGCCGGGGGTGGACTGGGGGGCGAGCTGTTGGCTGCGATATCTCCACATGATGTAGGTAGCGGCCGTACTCAATGCCATCAGCGCCGCGCCGGTCAAACCAAGAGGCTATAAGAAACAAAAGAACATTGGGAAAAATCAGGATCATTGAGCATGAGAATAACTAGATCAAGTCTTCTGCCCTAGTAAATATTAGAATAAAATGCTGGTTTAATCGCTTTCAACGGGCGACATTGTGAAAAATAACTCGGACCGTGAAGGAGATGAAGAGGTTTACTCCTCCCCTATTGATGGAATCCTATTGGAGGCAGTTTTCCTCAGAAAGTTGCATTCAGTACCTATCTTTCGATTTCAGATCTTCTTTGTCTTTCCATTAAGATAATTTGTTTGTATTTAAGGTGTTCCCATTAAATGCGTGGAATCGCTTAACTACTTCTGCATATAACTCATACTTTGAATGTCTGTAATCAGAAATCTACGTAATCAATTTAGCAACATTTCTCCAGAAAGTTGTAATTTTAAAAGTGATATTAAACTTCTTCTCTTTAATGGGCCTACATTGTTTCCATGTTCCTAATTATATCATTACACTAAAGAAAGTCCATCAGCTCTACAGAACTTTCAGTAATTTCGATTAAGTATGGCAAGAACTGTCAGAGAAATGAATTGTTCAATAGATGATACTTTCTACGACTTCTAATGTGTAACTACAGCTAAACCTTTTATAGCGATGTAAAAACCTCCAGCTAGTGCCGAGGTCAAGGAAATTTGTATCTACGAGTATACATTCATTCCCCGTAAGACTTCATGGTGTAGTGCTTAATTAGCTAAGCACAGGGACAATTTTAACCTCACCTTAGTGTCGTACAAATGTAAGATGAAGAGGGACAGGTTCTGTAAATCTCTTAAATGGACCTAAACAATATAATAGTCCATAAAATAATCACAAACTGCGCTCAAGAACATCCGAAAAGTGGCGAAATCTCATTTTACTCTAACTAATCTTTTCTATTATGGCTACGGCTTAATGATAGGTACATCCAGTATGACAAACTGCGTGAAAAGTAGCCACGTACGCCAAGTTTCTAGACTACTATAGAAAGACTAATAGTCTTTGATTAGAAGAGCAGTATGATTCCATGTACAGAGTTCACATCCGTATTGCGTGAGGAAATTCTCCAGGTTACAACTCTTACAACACACAGTGTGTGGTTATCACATACCCCGAGCACCGTGTTGCTCAAAAACGAGGAATTTTTGCACTCGGTGATTGTGATGATCGAGATGGCGCTCACTGCCACAGCCTCCGTCAACGTCACAGCCATGTCCTGCAAACACAGCACCCACCCTCTTCCGTTTAAAATGTTAGATTACTCTGAGGTCAAAGGAATAAATTGGGAGCTTTATATTCCTCACTTAGTTTCGCCAGAACGATAAACTAAGCAGTAAAGGATGAACGAGACATGCAGAATGCGCAAAAGAAATTCATGTAACATTTCTGTCGGGAAACCTAATCACCAGGAAGAGAGAGGCGTACTGTCCTCCAAAGAAGAGAAGGCGAGACAAGTGGTGGGAAGAAATGGTAAACTTTGACGTTTCCACTGTTCATTTAGGGACACTGAATTTCCGTGTACCACAGCAACAGTTAAGAGTTATATGAAAATAATGCTTTGTTTTCAGCCTCCACAGTACACGCTGTCGGGCTTTGATAATCGCCTCGTCTTCTCTTCTTTAGAAGATTATAGGCGGGAGTGTAGGTCTAATGCTGAAACATATCTTACAGAGAAGATGGCAGACATGTGAACTGGAGTGAACTGCATTACATTATGGTAAAATTATGGCAGAAGTCGTGAAATTTTGGGATCTACATCGACAGAGAACTTCTATAACAGCTGATTACCTATCGACTATTCTGTAGACACCTGTATTATACGGATTAATTATGTGAATTCCTTTAAATGAAAACAATGCATCATAATGATATGTATTGCATTCTGAGGAAACAAATGAGATTTTCAAAATTTCTTTTCCTTTTTCATATGCCTGTGGGCAACCATAAAGCATCAGTGAAATCAAACACCAACGACATATCTAACAGTCAAAGAAATGGAAAAATTGCAGTCTGTTTGTAACCACTTTAGTGAAGAAAAAGAGAATAGGAACCAACATCAGTTTAACACTTACATACTTACTTACTTACTAGGGTCGCGCCATAGCTCAAGCGGTTAGTCGCTGGCTTCCCACCGCGGCGGCCCGGGTTCGATCCCGGATCTGGTCAAGTAGGATTTGTGGGGGACAAAGTGACGCTGGGGCAGGTTTTCTCCGAGTACTTCGGTTTTCCCTGCCAATCTTCATTCCACCAATTGCTCCACAGTCACCCTTACCTATCATCTGGGGCTGGTACAATAGGCCAGAAGTGGTCACAGTACAAGGGACTTAGTCCCACCCCACTAGCAGTAAAAAAAAATACTTACTTACTTACTCATGGAGCTGAGCCCTTCTTGAGGAAAAGCCAAATCTGCAGCTACTCAAGAATTTACCAGCATTTTATGGAGCCCAAAGGTTCATTACCGTGTTCACAAGAGCCTTCCACTGGTCCCTATCCTGTGCCAGATCAATCCAATCCATACCATCCCATTCTATCTCTCTAAGATCCATTTTAATATTGTCCACCCACCTACGTTTTCCTTTTCCCCGTGGTACCTTTCCTTCTGACTTTCCCACCAATATCCTATATGCATTCCTGTTCTCCCCCATTCGTGCTACATGCCCTGCCCACCTCATCCTCCTTAACTTGATCATTCTAATTATACTTGGAGAAGAGTACAAGTTATCAGATTATTAACACTGAACTATCAAAACCAAGAGTACGTTCAAATTACAATGTGTCCCTGCAACAATTACCAGTTTCACCCAGAGGCTCGGATTGTCTTCCGCCATGCCAAGCATAAACATTGCGTACAGGAAGGACGTAGAGACGACGGTGACCAAGCTAGCGAGAGGATATAGCCATGTGTACCAATCTGGCGTATTTGGGCAGGATTCCGAACTGAGGAATAGCGTCGCGGCTATCAGAAACAGAATCTGTCGAGATAAAACAAGGATTAGAAACTTGAAACAGGCAGTAAACAGAAGAGTCGATGCTTCAGTTATCATGATTTCCCACTTCAGGGCACAAAGAAACTGATATTCGAGTTTGCATTTAAATGTTTGCTACGTTAAAAGGTAAAGTTGTTCCTGTCGTTAACTAATTAAGCACTATACCATGAAGGCGTATGAGGGAGTGGATGTATAGAACCACTTTTTCTTGACCTCGGCACTAGTTGAAGGCTTCACGCCCAGGCCGCTTTACCCCCGGGTGAAGAGCCCCTGGTACCCATTGGATAGGAGGTTGGGTGGACCCCAGAGCTGGTCTGGACGACTTGCAGAAGTGAAAATTCTTAACCCCACCGGGACTCGAACCCCAACCCCTTGGTCGTCCAGCCCGTAGCCTGTCTCTAGCCTTTAAGTGCCAAGATTGATTACATAGACGGCAAAAAAAAGTAGCAGGCCGTGGGGGCCCATAGGGTTGTGAGATGTTGAGGTTCCCACATTAGCTAGACAATCTGTTCATAGATGGCGGCAAGGTTGATAGCCCTAGGCGCCGGCCGTCCTTTACCCCCAAGAATATTCTTGGTACCATTTCTGTTAGAGGCTGAGTTGAACCCAGGGCCATAGTGCGGCTAGAAGGATTAGGTTAATTGAAAAAAAAATTCAATGACCTCATCGGGACTTGAACCCGCGACCTTCCGGCTTGTAGCATAGTGCCTCAACCAACTACGCTACCCCCCCCCCCCGGAAAAAAATTAATAAAACCTCAGGATCCATCACATCGACCCTCCGTATTTGGTAAGAGTAGGCAGGCAGTGATAACATTCAATTGATATCGAAACTACAAAAATTAGAGAAAGGTATATTGTATGTTTGGAGGTTGGCACTGGAAGAGTTGTGTGACACAGCACAGCTTTGTATATTCTTGAAAGAACATTAGCAGCGACGTACACTGACTGAGATTTAGTATTCTGCTTAAAAAAATGTAGCCGGTCTGACCGAAAAGTCCAGCCTACCATCTGATGAGATGTGTCGTCACATCGGGTCCTCGAGACCTGGTCTCTCCCTTATCAAGGCAAAGTCTGACAGTATCGTACATGGGCGGGGTTCCTGTTATGTCAGTTGTCTTGTGAATATCTCTCAATGGGTCTGATAAAATTCTGTATGTCAACATGTGATGCTGCATATACCGACGCATACGGTGCCTCAGGAAAACGACAAAGAAGTATGCAAAGGAATAAAGATAAATAAGAGGGTAGAAAGAAACGAAAGGATGAAAAGATATAAGGACGGAGAGGAAGAAATGAAAGGAGAAAGTAAGAGAAAGATGAGAGAAAATAAACAGAGAAGGAAGAAAGAAAAGAGAGAAAAATGGAAATAATGGAGAAGAGAAGGAATTGGAGGAGGAGAAACGGAAAAAAGAGAAAGAAAACGAAAAATAAAAGAGAAGGAAAAGAGATGGAAAGAAAGAAATAGAGGCAAAGAAGTAAGAAAAGAAGAATGGAAGAAACAGATGAGAGGAAAGAAAGGAAGACAGAGGAATAAAAAAGAAGAGAAAATATAAGGAACGAAAAGGGAAGAGTAGGGAAGAAAAGAAAGGGATAAGGGAGAAAGGGAGTGGAAAGAAAAAGAGAACCGAAGAAGAAAATGAAGGAAAGAAAGGAAGAAATACGGAGACAAAAGGAAAGAAAAGAAATAACAAAGTGAAATTAAGAAAGAGCGGGGTGAAGGGAAAGAGAGGAAGAGATAAAGAAAGAATGGAAGAAAGGGAGAAACAGAGAGATAAAGAAAGAAAATAAGTATAACATAGAGAAAGACACGGAATAATGCCCAGACTTCATACCGGAAATGGCCGTCCGAGCAGGTTGACGTAACGGTAACACTAAAGGGAGTTCTAGTTATCCTGCCAGAATGTCCCTGGTTCTCCTCAGCTCCTTCCACAAATTCTCACTTCATTGCGTATTCTGATTCTAATTTTCGTCTGCGCCTACCTAACGTCTTCCAGTATCAGAATGTGTTGTATTTTGATGCCCCATCGCATATGAGGACTGATCTTAAGCCTACTTTCCGTATTTCCTTATATACTCATCAGGTTTGTGTGTATGTCTGTACACCAGTAAGAACTTTTTGGCCAACCGACCTACCGATTCTCATGTAAATTTACGTAGTTGTATAATGAGATTTGGTGCCAACCAAATTGTATTTTATCATTGCCACTATCAACACCCTAACCTTTCGAACTTCTAAGGTGGAAGCAACACAAACGTCGTATCATTTAAGCAACGGACTTTTAAAAAAATATAAAACTTGCGATACTTGTAGGCCCATTGCGTAGCCCAGAAATAGAGAAATTGATAATATGCAGTATGCAGATAGGTGTGTATGTAGACGAATTAGACGGACGGACAGACAGATATACAGGTAGGTAGGCAGAAGCAACCAGGTTTTTTTTTTAGTGGGTGTATAATGTGGTGTATCAAATTAAAGCAGAGATTTATTTGATGTTACTTCAGTCTTTTAGTGATTACACCGTGTGGATGTGGATTATGTAAGAACGCAAGACTGAATTAACCTCAGTAACCACACATCGTAAAAGCCTAAAATTAGTAAACCGTTAGTTACGAGATTACAACTAACTATTTAGCAACCATGCTGTTGGACATATCCTTAGCCTTACTCGCAACCTACTTTCATAGCATTCAATCACTTGCACCATCGCAACGAAGCCTTTCAATGCCTATCTATTTATCTATGCCTCTACTGTCCTTTGTTGGATCTTGACCGCTTTTTTAGTCTCTTAATCCTATACAGTCGGCAGGACTATTTGGACGGGGGGTCAGCCCGTCACAAGGCCGCTACCTACATATAGAACAATACAAACAGAATAAATGCACACAGACATCCAGGCCTTGAGTGGGATTCGAACCTACGATCCCACCTTTCGAACGAGCGAAGACAGTTCATGTCTCAGACCGCGCGGCCACTGTGATCGGCTTTCAAAAGTATATCAACCTTAAGATTTCCGCAAAACAGACACTTTCAACAGTGAATTTTGTTTTCTTTATTCACATTCCCCAGGCTGCAGTACCACCCCTTGTGGACGGTCTGCGGTTCAAAGGCTCCAGGAGTTACAAGACGCGACAGACATGGAATGGGTATAATGTGGTTAAATAAGATCGTAATGTACTTACAATGACGAGCAGCTTGAGAATGCCGGCAGGCGACAGGAAGTACCTGCTGGTAGCGAAGCGTCGCCTGATTTTTACATCGTCCAGCGCCGTGGTGCCACCCTTCTGTTTCTTCTCGAGGGTGGATGATAGGTGGTAGAGTGTTCCACGGCGTCCCTTGACCACTGTTTTTCCTCCTGAACTCCCTCCGCCCGTGCTGGTAACTGCAGCCACACCCCGTGCCTTTGTCGCCGCGGACATTCTGGCTGGGATTGTAATGGGGTTCACTGCGAAATACGCATAACGATTCAAGCGTCGCCGGTTACTACAACTGAAATTTATGATTTTACGGTTCCCGATGATGTGGTTTGAGGCAATTCGTGTCGTCTGTGGGAAAATTGAAGATTGTGAAGTACCTGAATTTACGCTCAGAAAACCCGTAGAAACTTAAAAGAACAGCTAAATGAAGTTCGAAGGGACTGACTTGTCTGTTAAGAAATGCTACTTGAAATAGGCCACAATAGCTTGTTATCCACTCCGTTTCATTTCACAGAATAGAATAAAAGAATACTCCGTAGTTTTAGTCCGCAAGCGAACTAAATAGAATCATCCTTTCATACGGTATGTCACACTCAAACAACCTCTGTGGCTGATACAACGTCATTAAATATCCTACAATCCCCCCCCCCAAATACACAGAAACTTCAGCTTTCTAAAATATTCACACCTAGGATTATGCAATATCAACGTTAAACACACAACATCTGAAACTGATACGTCATTAAATAAGTAACAAACTATTCTTAAAAAAAAACACTTCAGCTTCCTGAAAAATTCACCTATTAGAGTATGCAGTAACAACCTTAAACAAACAACCTGCAACATAGATACGTCAATAAATAACCAAAAACTTAGCTTTCAGGAAAATTCACTTCTAGTACTAAGCAGTATTTCGTCTTTTCTTCCTTCAGACTGGAATGTAGGGACAGGTGAGCCTCGCCAGCGGGCACATCGCTGTGGAATCGCAGACAGCACTGACCTGTAAAGTGAAGGCACCAGTTCTCACCGCGCGGCAGTGAACAGAATGTCGGGTCACTTTGTCCATCTCAGTGCAACGAGCAAGTCCGGGTATGGAGAGGCTCAACTGATACCAGTATCAGAGTCCAGGGACACGAGGAAATGGAAAAATGAAACAAAGGCGCGAGAGAGAAAGATACGGAGACAAACAGGAACAAACAGAGAAACCAGAAAGAAATGTGCATGAACGAATCGGTCCAAAGCCATTGCACACACTTTCTCAAACCACTGACCTCGACTACAGGACCTTGGAATCGAAATCAGCTGTTGCTAGGTAGACAATTATACGTTAATTAATACCGAACAGCAATAAAATCTATACGACCGGTAATGTTGGTTTCGACAAAATAGACGCTTCGCGTTTGGGCCCCTAGTACGCGTCCTCTTATTTCCTGAAGATACCACCCATGCAGTTTTATTGAGGGGGACTGTCCTCGTAAATTACAGAAAATTAATCAAAATCATGATTCGTTTAAAAAAATCACTGTTTAGCTTCTGGAGGCTCATTTGAAGGGCACCTATTTTTGGAACGGGAACGTTTGTGTTCACTGATTACTGATCTATGATGAGCAAACTCTTGAATACAAAACATGAAACAAATATCATCTAACGGTTCAGAGGCTAGTGAGGCACATATCCGTACAGACAGACGCAGAAACAGACAGTATTAAGGAAAATATTTGGGGAGGGGGGGGGGAGCTAAAACATGTAAATCCGTCAAAGCTCAGCTGATAACTTATCATTCCAGCAGCCGGAATAGTTCAGACTGTATAGCAACGGGCTACATGCTGGACGGCAGGGGTTCGATTCACGGCAGAATCAAGAGTTTTTTCTACTCCACAGAGTCCAGGATGCTCTAGGCTCAACCAGCCTCCTATCTACTGGGTGCATGAGGTTCTATCCCCGGGTATGAAGCGACAGGGGCGTGAAGCTGACAATTCACCCCCATCAAGCGTCGAAGTCAAGATTCCTAGAGCTACAGCTCCGTCCCCCAAAGCCATAGTGTTTAAATCTGGTGGTTAATATCCATTTACTTATCGGTTTATGTAGTTTAATATTTCATTCCATATCGATCTATTTTCGCGATTACATCTATGGCTCTACAACCATTTGTTGGACCTTGGCCACTTTTTAAGTTTCTTAACCTTATACACAATCGATAGGTCTCCTTGGATGGGGCATCAGTCCGTCGCAAGTCCACTACCTGTACACAGGACAGCACAGACACAGAAATGCACATATACATCTATGCCTCAAGTGGGATTCGAACCCACAATCCCGCTGTTTGAGCGGGCGAAGATAGTTCATGCCTTAGACCGCGCGGCCACTGTGATCGACCGTGATTACATTCTTATTTATATACCATGTATATGAGAAAATATAGCAGAGAATGAAGGTAAATGACAGGCATTAAGGCAGCGGAAACAGAGAAGCGAGACAAGGAGAATTAAGTCCATGGAATTGAGTCATGCTTGAAAATCCACCAGTTGTGCAGTTACTCAATAATTTCCCAAAATTTTATGCAACCCGAAGGTTCATTATGATGTTCACAAGAGCACACCACGGGTCCTTATCTTGAGCCAGATGAATCCAGACAATACCATCTCATCCTACTTCTCTAAGATCAATTATTTTCCACCTATGTCTCCCTGGACGAAGTCATCACCACTTTACTAAGCTGAGCTAATTCTACCACATCATCATCCGTTCTCCCGCTCGTTTCAACGGCCAGGATGAGGCTACCTGAAGTTAGTTTACTTTGTGAGGTTACTCAACCTTTGGCACCTAATCCTACCCTTATTACCTATAAAAACCTCGCTTCAAACCGACTAACCTAATTAATCACTGAATTTAATCACGTGATGACCTGTATATTTCTCTGCCATCAAATCCAGTGGGCAAGGCGGGTGGATAGTTATTTATGCATATGAATGACCACACCCTGTAAGCATTCCTCTTTGCCCTCATGCGTGCCACGTGCTTTGTCCATCTCATCTTCCTTGGCTTAATCATTCTAATTATATTTGGCGAAGTGTACAAGATACAGCGGCCCTCACTATGCCATTTTTTCAACCTCTTATTAGAGATAAAATGAAAAAGATAACACTAATTAATAAGAAAAAAGAAACTTAAGAATATTACATAAGAGGAAGTAGAAAAACAAAGAAAGCAAGAAGGAGAAAGAATAATTAAGTCGAGAGTGAAAGGAACAGAACGAAAAAATACTGTCGGCACTCGGCTCAGTACATGAAAATGCCTTCTGATGTGATAAAGATAACCCAATGTTATCAGCTACTGTTACTGATATATCACATTTGACAGAACAATGCATCCAAGCCTCAGATACCTTACTTTATTAGAGGACGTCCTCAGTTGAGGCAGAACAGCATTTGATTCTCAAAGAACATGTTGAAAACATAGATAGGAATGTTAGTATGTTAGACATGTCAGCAAACTGAAGGTCTACTATGGCGGTACACTCCCGTTAGATCGCACCCACACCTACTGCTGTCCAAATACGAGTAATATGCTTTCTGCCGGATATAGTAATGCTGCTATATGTAAGAAAATAATTCCTTGTCATGTTTTTTCTAAATTGGAGTCATTTATCATATGCCTAACTGCATATACCAGAATCCTTCGTGGGAAGCCATAAATCACTTATTTAAGAAATTTCCCAACTTGCAGTGGCGGAGGTTTCACGTCAACCATGTTAGCCAGGATAACACTTTGAACAACATACTGCAGAAGAAGCGATCAGACAATGAATCGTCTGCCATATCCAGAAAGTGAGCCCATCAGACGCAAGTGAGGCAGAACCTCGTAGCTTAGGACAGCAGTTTGTTAGGGCAGGGGCAATTGGAAGACACACAATATAGTGTAAAGTTGAGGGCATGAAGAGTTGCAGGCCATTCTAAGCAAAAATCACTTTCCAAACTACAAAACGAGGAAAGTGAACATAGTTCAGCTGCTTGATACTCACGCGGCACGCAGGTACCTGGCAAGCAAACAAGAATATAATAACGAAATGCTTATTTCTGTTTGAGGATATCATGACATCCCTTAAGATTCTGTCTTCAACTCCTATCTGAAAGTATTTTCTGGAGTACTACTGCAAGCCAAAAAACTTTTGAAATTATCCATGCCCAAACTAACGACATCAGTTTCTGTTCCAAAAAAATAATAAAAAATTACTAACGCCATAAGTTCGATGTTTGGACACAAAGAAAGTGATGCTCACATGGAGACAGAGAGCACTCAGAACTGCTAGCCAGGAGACAATGAATCACAAGGACAGAAAATGATGGAAAATCTTATCGTTGGCTGTTCTGAGAAATAATTGGTACTATGAAACAACAGTTGACCAGTCGATTCTCCGAATGTCTCAAACCACATTTCATTTCACTTCTCGACTCAGAAGACTTTAAACACTACTCTGCGAAGTTTCCAATTTCTGCTGCTTGTCGGCAAAGTTTAATGCCAACTTTTGCAGATAGAGGGTGTCGCATGGTCATTGCCACGAATCACCACGGCAGTTAATTTCGGTTTTCTAGACTGGAGCCGCTATTTCCTTGAAATAGCTCCTCGCTTATCATCACGAGGCTGAGTGGTCCCTATTCCAGACCCACTTCTTCTCAGAAAATCTGGTAGTGCTGGGACCACAGAGTAAACTATTACAAAATATAAGTAGCCTACAGTAAACTCTTTATCTGCAGTAATGGAGTGGAGAATTACAACAAACTGAGAACAGCATATAAATACTTCTTTAGAATTCTAGCAGGTATTCCTGTTTGTTGGAAAACTGCATGCCCTTTTATTATTCTGAATGACTTATTAACACTTCAGTCAACATATGAGTTGCTTAAAGGCCAGTATGTTATGCTATTTCTTCATCCCCATTCCCCTGGCCCTGTGTTTGTTAGGTACTTCACCAGTCAATACCTTGCAATCAGGAACACCACACCACTGAAATGTTTTCAGTGTCAATGTTCTTATACAAGAATGTCACCTTCATTCATGAAATTATGCTATGGGCCAGACTGGAAAGTTTCACTCAGGGTATGGTTAGGAGTTTAGTGGATCAGAAACTGAAAACAGTACTTGCATATCATAAACAAAAGGAAAAATATTTTCATTACAATAACAAAATGGATCATTTCATACAGTCATTATATACAGCAGATCACTTCATGTCTCAAGACAGAAAATGTAACTATAACAAATATTACAAAGAGGTAAAATTTATCTCCTCAATGTTTAAGAATATGCTAAAACTTTATATGAAAATATATTTATTATTAAATCTAACAATATAATTTCCATATTAAATGCAACATTCCTTCTTAAATCTATCATTGAATTCAAACAATTGTGCTGCAAAAATAGCAGCAATACTATCATGTACAAATACACAATAAAGCTAGCATTTTTAATACATATTTTGGTCCCATGTCTTTACATTTTTTCCATTTTGGATAATTATACTAGAGTATTACTATATACAGCAGTTCAATCTGCCCTATAAACAAAATTGTTAATGGTCCCTGGACAGAAAACAACTGTGAAATTTACTGCACATAGTTAGGGCTATAAAAAAACCTTTCCTACTGCAAGTTCCATAATTCGTAACTACCATTTTTTCCTCCAGACCTAATGATCTGATATGCTGTAATGCCAAACAGCTTTCCTGAAGCATTCATACACGGCAATGTACATACATTCTTAACTGAAAATGTATGATATGGCAAAATTCCATTTTCTTAAACAGTCATTGCTTTCTTCCAAAAATTATACAGCTTAATTAAACAGCCTCAATTTAATCTGGCACAACAGCAATGAGCTAAAAGTCACTTCGTAAGAAGACTCAATACTCAACTCTTTTAACAACTTATGTTACTCTTGAAGAGAGATGATACACTGTCCAAGTCTTTTTATCTACCACTAGGCAAACACAGCACCAAGTCCTCAGCCATTTTCTTTAAATTAATTCAACTTACACGCTGCATACAATCATAATGAATACTTACAGAGAGGAATATTATCAAGTTGCTATATAACATACATATGCAAAGCTAAAACTTATCATGTACATACACACAAAATATTAACTGTAATATCTTGACTCTCATTCTTTCCATGTCCACCAAAGCAGAACTGCTGGCTGTTAAAGATGACGATGCAACAGTAGTGACAACTTATGCCAACAGACTGATTGAGGAGAACATTCCCATGCCAACATACAACATCTGCAAGAAAAATTCATTTCTGGCATAATCTCAAAGACAGAATGATACAGTGCCTGTCAAACTTCATCTAAGCCAAAGAACCAACATTGTAACTACAAACCTGCAAGCTTATCTGTATATTGTTTGAAAACAAAAAAATAAATCACCTATGGGATTGAAGTTTGTACTGGTTGACAATATGCAAAAGCTAAGTTTACAACTTCTCTCTATCCCTTTGAAATTGCAAACCTTTACAAAAGCATTCCAGCAACCCAGAAATTAAACTACTGTTAAGTTTAAAAATAATGGCATAACCAAGCTGAATAAGTGGCCGGTCACGGTAGCCGAGCGGTCTAAGGCATGCACTGTCTTCGCTCACTTGGAAGCCGAGATCGTGGGTTCGAATCCCACTCAGGGCATGGATGTTTGTGTGCGTTTTTCTGTGTTTGTGTACAGGTAGAGGCCTTGCGACAAGCCAATCACTCGCCCAAGGAGTCCTACCGAATGTGTAAGATCTAGTAAACCGAAGTGAAACGGAGAGTTTCATGGAGGTGGGCCTAGGCCCAAATGAGGGCTGTAGCGCCAAAGGAAAAAAAGGAAATCTGAATAAGTGACAAATTAACAGATATGGTTAACTTGTTAAAATGTTGTCATCTGATGAACCTCAATCAAAAATGCTACCACCTCACCCATATTTATCAACACATATATATCACATGTCCTATTCAAATTTAGGATCTCCCATTAAGTAATTACTATGGTTCTTCAGTTATAATTATGGTCAGATTATCAGTGTTTATTGATTTTATGATTCTGATTACAAAATCCAAATGATTTAAGCAGTTGCTGAGAGGAAATGGAATGGCACTGCAGTAGTAATGAAGATTTTAACAATCAGTTTTTTTTTCTGGTATTGTGGAAAGGCACACTGTACTGAAATCTCCCTTCAGAGAACATTTAAAAGCAAACAGTAAGTTGTAATGGAATAAAAAGTTGAAAAAAAAAATGTAACTTCCTAATTTATTTCTGTCAAAAATCCTGTAATTCACTTGACCTCCTTTTGCCTTGCCCACATAGAGGTAAGTACCCATCTTTTTGAGAAACAGAACTGGAAAGAAACACACTCCCTAATGTAGCACATGAAATGCCCAGTAGCAATCTTTGCAGTTTGTTCATGTTACCTGCAGCCAGTTTATAACTGAATTTCAGAAAAACAATTAAAATTAAAATAAGAAAAATCTATATTTCAGTAGCCTAATAATGCATAGTAATGAATTAAAACAAAATCTGTGGAATGATTTATGCAGTATATGGAAAAATCCATTTATGTCCTTGTGTAAAGAAGAGCTAAAAATGAAAACTGCCAACTAATGTTATGCAGAGGTCTGAGACATCAAATTGCAACAAAATATAACCAACTGATTAATACAAGGTGCTATCGGAGAGTGTCAAAAAAGAAATGCTGGCTTAATTTACTCAATTTTGGCTACCACCTCATTCAAAATATTCTCCTTTGGAATGTATACAGGGATCCCACTGTTTTTTCCACACTTCAAAAGCACAGTGGAAGTCATTTTCCTTAATGCTGTCAAGTACTCCTTGCAATTTTCTTTGGATGTCAGACACTGCTCCCAAACATCATGCTTTCAGTTTCATTTTCAAGTTGGGGAACAAAGCGAAACTACATGGGGTTAAGTCTGGTGAGTAGGGAGGACAGGGAACGATAACCATGTTGTTAGTAACAAACTCTGTGGTATTCAAGGACACGTGGGCAGGTGCATTGTCATCATGAAGGAGCCAGTTGTAGTTGCACCAAAGTTCCGGTCTTTTTCATTGCATATATTCTCTCAAGCATCTCAAAATGTCAAAGTAAAAGTCAGAGTTGACCACAGAGTTAGGAGGAACAAGTTCATGGTGAACAATCTCCTTCATGTCCAAAAATACAATGAGGATGCTCTCTGTTGAACTCCGGACCTGCCGTACCTTTTCTGTTCTTGGTGACTGTGGGCTCTTCCAGCAAAATGATAGTTGCTTTGTTTCTGGATCATAACTGTACGAGTAAATCCAACTTTCAACACCCATTATGATCCTAGGGATAAAAGTTGGGTCTTTGTTAGCCTTCTCTCATAGCTCAAGACACATGTTCATGTGCCACTGCTTCTGATAATCTGTCAAAGAGTCAGAGAACAAACTTCGTGGCAATGCGGTGCATGTTCAAATTTTCTGTTAAGATCTCTTGGCAAACTCCATAACTGATGCCAGCAGTGTCTGTAAGCTCATGGATTGTTCAGCGACGGTCTTTGTGGATGAGTTCTCAAATTTTTTCAAAATTTTCTGTCGTTTTGCTGGTGCCTGGTCACCCTGAAAGTTATCATCTTCAACTGATACTAGACTGGTCTTGAAGCATGAATGCCATTCAAAAACCGCTGTCCAGCTTAAAGCATATTCTCCAAAACAACCATGAAGCATTTCAAGGGTTTCGGTAGCAGATTTACTGAGCTTCACGCAAAACTTGATGCAGACACGTTGCTCGATTTTGCCATCCATTGCAGACAAAACGATACACAACATCAAAACAGCACTCTTGTAAAACTAATGCGTGTTCACAGCATGGTGTCATGTGGCAGACTGATGCAATAGGCTTGCAGAAGTGTGACCCCAGACTCCCTTCTCATTTTCTTTCACTGAGCCACTTAAAACAATAACAGTCCAGGAACCTTCTGATACACCTCGTATACATGAATACTAATTTAAAGAAATCTGTCCAATGGTTTAGGTACTTATACAATGTCAATGAACATGGAATCCACATGAAGTGTTATGTACATACATAAGCTACTTCCCAACACAGTCATCACCAGTGTTGCAGCACTTAGCATATTGGAGAATAAGTTTTTGTATGCCTGTGTCAAAGAAGCATGTGAACTCAGCCACATTTTAACACCTTCCATCAACTCCCAATTATTGCTGAAGCACTGTGATCCTCAGTACGTAAATAGGTGGTAGTTGCTCAGAGCGAGATCAGGGCTGTAAGGAGAGTGGTCAAACAACTCCCAGTTTAAATTCTCCAAACAGTGCTCTAGTGTAAGCAGCTGTATGCGGAAGCACACTGTCATGGAGGATCACTATACCAGATGTCAGCATTCCATGCCTTTTGTTCTGAATGGTCCTACACAAATTCTCTGCATTTTATGTGCAACCACAAGCATTCTAAGAACCCATCTTGTGTGAAACTTGTGATAGCCTGGCTTAACAGATAAACTCATACAGAACAGTGTATGAAATTTGTTGAAATTCACACAAAACTTTTAAAATTGCGAAGCACCATCTTTCACAGATTTCTTGGTCAACAATTTGAACAAGATTAACATTCACTACAGATGACCGACCACTTTGCTCTTAATCATGAACATCTGATCGCCCATCTTTGAACCTTTTACACCACTGGCTTACAGTTCCATCTTTCATTATAGTTTGGCTATAAATCCTGCATATCTCATGATTGATTGCTGCAGCACTCATGTTTTTAGCATGAAGAAAGTGGATAACAGTGTGAATTTTGCACAATAACTCACTCTGTAGAGACAAGAACAAACACTAGGACATCAGTTATGTGATAGTTCACACGGCAATGAGTCATGCGACTCAAGTCGCATGTGTGAGCTCTCTCTCACTCCTACATTAGTCGCCTAAAATAAATGGCAGTTACTTTCCGAACAGCCTCATATATATATATTTGCAACAGTTGTCACATTATTATTTTCATTTAAAACATTTCAAAATGTTATTTTCTGAATATTTATTGCTATAGGAAATATTAGGGCCCTGAGCTGAAGATAGTGCAAGATATATTCCACCCAACAAATTTGCAGGATTAATTGGTGGCAGCATCAATGGTAAGGAAATTATGGAAATGGGGTTACTGTAAATTGTATGATTTCGGTATTGTTTCAAAGAAATCTCCAACTGAATACAAAGCTATAAAAATACTTAAGTATCAGTACATCTTTAGTTGTAGAATATAAAGAAATCGCAGAATCTCTAAGGTACATATTTTCAATTTACAACTTCTTATCCGATTAATATTTAACAAATACATTTAGCCTTATAAATGCTGAATTATTTAAAAAAGTAAAGTCCACTTTGGTTACATAATTTCTTAACTTTAACTTAGTACGGAGTGTGAAAAGACAGCAGATGATGTCACTTCGGTGTCTAATTCCCATTCACACCGAGCATACTCTCTCATTCAAATTATGGAAAAGTCTATAATTTATTCAAGTTTTCATGTTAAGTGTATTCTTTAGTCATTAACTATTCAGTTCCATGAATTTCATTTCAATGGGAATTCCAAATATTAGTTTTCCTTGAGGAATAAACTCAGTTCAAGGTCATGCTCAATAACCGTGTCCTTCTCATGTACCATAACTCAGATTACAATATGGCAGACTAATAATCTGCAGGAATATACACCAGGCCTTACTTGAATTTATCATCAAAGTATCTTTTACCTGCCGTAGAGTGATGTGCTCTTTTATTCCCTAATTACGAAGTGGATCCAGGCTTTCTAGGGAGAAGTCTTCATTACCAAATGAAAGTCCTCGACTGAAACCATCCTGTAAGAACAGTCTTGATCAATAAGTAGCATTTAAAATGGAATTAAAAGATACAGTTTTCTTAATCCAGCTGAGCCTAGTTACTGTCCATGTTTGTAGACTTGGCTATTCTGAACAAAATTTCCAATGGACTTAGTCAACCACCTAAAATAAGGAATGTGGGGTGTGTACAAGTTATAACAGGGTATATATGGATAAATACCGTCTTAAGTGCAACAAATTTTATTGTAGTTTTTACTTCTTTTCCTCCTCCTTATAACAGGCCCTTATAACAGGGCCTTAGTTACAGTGAATCACCTTCCCTCACTCCAACAGCTGAGCTGAAATGACTGCCCCCTACTCTTGCCATATTTCTCCTCACACATTCCACAGGACAGGTCTTAAAATGGGGCCTGTACACATGTGTAATTATTTGTAATGAATGACTGCTTAAACTCCTTTATGCCAAAGTAACCAGAAATTTGCGAAGTTCTGAAGGAATGATCTTTCCCTGAACAACAAAAATGTGGACATGACAGAAAGTTTAATTTTTCTTATTCTTCTTCGTCTCTGGCTTTTAGTGCATGTCTGTTAGAGAAGTGGATACTAATGAATTTTTAACATAGAGCCATACATATCAGTGTAGTACTGGATTAAAATGGGAGTCAGGATTGCATCATCAGTATAGTAACTGGCTACAGTCTGGATGACAGAGGGGTTGGAGTTTGAGTCCTGGCATGGTAAGAATTTTCTCTTCTACAAGTCATCCAGACTGGCTCTAGGGCCCAACCAGCCTCCTATCCACTGGGTACTGGGGCTCTTTCCCCAGGCATAAAGCGTAAGGGACGTGAAGCTGACCACTCACCTCCAGCTAGTGCCAAGGTCAAGAAAATGTGTATCTATACATCCACTCCCCCATACTCCTTCATGGAGTAGTGCTTAATTAGTTTTCTGAGATATAATTATTTTATTTTGGATACCTTTCATATGGACACCCTGTATATATCAAGAACTGAGACTGCCTTACCTTCATCTCCAGAAGTCTCTTGTCTAAAAGCCCAATGGCATTCTCCAGCTCCTGCTGAGATGGGTCCCCACTGTCATGGTTGCCAAAATCTCCCATTCCGAATGGATCAGACAGAACGCCTACTGCTGAAGGCACTGGTTGCTTCATTGCAGCCCTGAGGCGCAGGAATTAAACTTAAATAAGCATGTGAAAGTCCGCCTTACCTCACTCGTACTAATATTAGTGAGCTAGCGGTTTTAAATTTTGGCAACAGATGAACTGTTCTGACCAAGATTCCAATGTTTTCTTCAGTCCCTCTAGGAGTGTGACAGACTCCTGCAGCCTCACTTTGCTGACTCATGATGACGATGACAATATCATATTTACTTAAAATGGAAATAACTGGTCCATGGTCATGTTATTAGATGCCTTGTCAACATGGCATGGCACACCATCTAGTTAGATGGTTAGAGAGCTGTTTAGTGATATCATCAACGTTTGTTCTAAGAATCATACAAATTCTATAAACACACACTGATGGAAAAATAAATTATGCAGTTTTTATATATTAAAGCACGTGGTAGATACTGTGACATGTCTAACCGTTGGTGGGCAACGGGAGGTGGAATGAGTTACCACGAAGACAGATTCTGGATAAACGGTTGGTTGCCGGGTTGCACAACAGTGGAAACGAGGTTACGCAACAGTAAGGAAAACTGTGTTTCTCCGTGGCGTGCCTAGCTGAGCCAAAGCACACTGGTTGCTACACAACAATAAAGAATCCTCAGCAGCGTTGCCCAGCAACGCCTGTGAACATGATGTTTACGCAACAGTGATGCGAGGTGGGTTTTCCGCTGCCCGACTAAGGGTATGTAAGGGAGGCTGGAATGCGTAACCAGTCAGTTGCAGTCTAGCATTTGCCAGAGTGAGTTGAAGTCCATTGTTATTGAGTTGCATCGAGTGAATGGCAGTGACTCCAACAGGAGAACTAACTGTGATACTGCAGCTTGCAGTAATTGGGAAATTGTGAATTGTATAAGTGTGAGAGCGAATGGACAATAAATTCGCTAAGATCCAAGATGGCGTGAAGTTATTTGTTGTGTTACCAACACCCAACATGTGACAATATAATAACCATTATGCTTTAAAGTATTACATCATTTGTAAATTAATCTTTTGTGATTATTGACAGGATATGGAAGAACAAAACATCCTGAATTTAATAATAATAAGCAGTTCCTAAACTTACCAAGTTCTTCATTTCAATATGTGATGTTAAAAAATTCTAGTCTGTCCAACTTACTCCATCTGCCTTTAAATACATGAAAATTATTACATAAGGGAACAGGGGGCAAAAGAATGAATCTGGAAGTGATGAACATTAAAATGGTGCACAATAAGAGGCATACTTCATCCTACCTGCTGGCAGCAGAGGGTGATGACAATGTTGAGGATGAAGCAGGATTAAATGGAGTGGAGCCAAACAGGTCCTCCTTGAACGGATCTGCATTCTGTGCAACTGTGCCATTGTTGTGTGTGTGCGTACGTCTGGATGAGTCTCTGGGCACTTTTGGAGGTGGGGCCACTGTGAAAAAAAATGATCCCATCATATTAATGATCCAGTATACATATGCAACAACTGCTTTGAAAAATGCAATAAACACACTGAACATCATTAAATTTCCAAAAATCAAACCAACTCTCATGCAAGTGTAAAACAATATTTTCTGCACCAGCAGTTTTATGCTATAAACAAATAACAGAATGTCAGGACAAATTTGACTCTGAACCATGTCCACATGGATTTCATGTACACACAACCACACATGCAAACCAGACAACTCAACATAATTAAAAAAATTACCTGCATCATGATCTGGTATTTCACAACAGCAATTAGGTTCTCTACAATTATAAACAACGGCTAACCAAATCATGTCATGCAGGAACACAAGTGCAATGGTATATTCTATTAATTGCAACATTAATCTCTGAGATGATAGTCACGCTGCATGATGGTCAGTAAAACATTTCTGCTTATATTCTGTTAAATATTCACCATATCATAAGTGTTTAAAATGAAAGCTAAACTACTTCAAATCAGTTAATGTATGTGCCAAAATATAACCTGCACCCAAATTTAGAAGAAAAGCATCTATTGTACACATCACTTGTATAAAATATATTAAATAATTTCTACATACAAGGTGTTCCACAAAGATGTAGACATATTTCAATACATGAAATAAAACATTTTAATAAGCTAAACCCTTAACTATTTTCACATTGGCACTTAGCATTCAGTGAACCTATTGCAGGTGCTCAAAATGACAACCACTATCTTTGTAACACCATTCACATTGGCCACTGAAGTCTGTGTTGGGATGGCTATGCATGATTGTTCAATTTGTTTCATGAGCTCTTGTAGTGTTGCTGGCTATGTGCATACATTGTGGTCAGGATTGCCTTCAATCGCTGCATTGTGTGAACTACTGTTAACAACCCAGTCAAAGTGTCCTCATTCATTGATGGGCACAGTCTACAAGACTGTTGCTTATATACATCAGTCAGAGCACTGTATGTTTCAAATTTACTTTAAATTCCTGTAACTCTTAGTCATACTGGAGGTCTGCTTTCACACTGAAGGTTCCACCATCTTTGCACTTCAAGCACATTCTCGAATTTCCAGTAAAAAGAAAAAAGCAAAGCTATCCCTGTACCAGGCCGTGAAGGCCCATAGGGTTGCGAGACGTTGAGGGTCCCACATTATCTAGACAATTGGCTCAAAGATGGCGGTAAGGTTGTCAGCCTTATGCGCCGACTGCGCTTTACTCCCCAGGAAAATTATTTAATTAATTCCTGGTACTCATTTCTGTTAGAGGCTGAGTCAACCACAGGACCATATTGCGGCTGGAAGGATTAGGTAAACTGAAAAAAATCCCATGACTTCATCGGGATTTGAACTCACGACCTTCTGACTTGTAGCATAGCCCCTCAACCAACTACGCTACTGTGTGCCCCACCTCGAATTTCCAGTACCACTTCAAAAATAAACTTGCACTGCTCAGAACAAAAACAACCCTCTGTCATTTTTCACAGCTGCAAATCACAGGAAATAGTATTGTAGTGCCATCTTTTATGTGTAGACCACACTAGGTTCCCCTTGTAAACACAAAACATGTGTTCCATGCAAAGGTAGCCAGGAACTCTGACAACTAGATCACAGAGGTGGTCTAAAAATATTTAATGCTTTAATGGTTACCCTTCTTTCTTTATGTTTCATGGTTGCATTCCACATCCCCATTAATCCCTTAAGTCTGTCCAATGCAAATTCACTGAATGCACCACTTATGAGGAATGCATCAGCTGTGATGGACAAGGGTTTACTGTATAGAAAATCACCTAACACAAAGCTGCAGCCTTCACTAGGAGCCACAACAAGGATTTGTAACCTTTCTATACTCACATAAAGGTGGAGAAGAAACAGAGCCGTTTGAGCTGGATAATGTAACACTCCCACTGCTGTTAATGTTGCTGGGCATCTGTTCATATGCTCGTGGATTGAAATCTTCCTCCAGTTCATCCAGTAGCAACCCTTCCAGCTTTGTTCCAACAGATGGCTGGGCCGATGATGACAGCATATCACCGATGAAATCACTCTCTCCAAATGGTTTGCTGCCGCTACCGACTTCAAAGGCTCTGGGTGGCACAGGAGGTGGCTGGGCTAAGCTTGCAGAAAAGGGTGGAGTGCTGATCCCATTACTGGACCCAGTGCTCAAGTTCAGGAGATTGCCATTCTCCTGTTGAGCAAGGTTTGTGTTACTAAACAACCAGATATCCACTGCAAGGTTAATAAACACTGAAAGATTACCATGGCCTTCATTGAGTAGTCCTCACTTAGTAACAGCATTAGCAGCAAAGATGATATGAAGGTTATGGTATTCTGTGTGTAACTGAGCTCGCCACCTGCTTCTGATGGCTTCTGGCTTGGATTACTCTTTGACCCTGAAGATGGAGGTGATACTGTCCTCTACAAACCTCGGGTTCCTTTGAAACTACATGGCATTACAACCCGGAGGACCATACTCCTCAGTCACCACTATGGGAACGTCAAATCCAACAAAATTAAGACGATTCAAGGTTCACAGTCATCTTGAAAGAAGTTCAAACTGGACCTTATACAGAATCAGTTCTCATTTTCATATCACATTTCCCTAAGACACATTTTAATATTACTGTGGCGTATAGACCCATGGCTAAGTGGTAACTCTGTAAACAACAACAATTTCTGGGCAACAGCTCGGTAAAGATGAACAAATATGCACGCAATAATAGAGTTACTGTTGGAAATTACGTGTTTCTGTGTGGTACATGCTGATATGTTACAAGCAAGGGACAAAGTCAGTTGTTAGGGAGTTCTGCATGGGAGGCTGTGAGGACAGAACTTGAGCATGTGGAGCTGAAGACTCTCCACTATTAGAAGCTATTTCCAGGGAATGGTTGATGAAGACACAGCAGGCTGGAAATGGATTAGTGGGTGCTGTGGTGATTTGTGAATTGTGGAGATTAGCGGTGGCACTGTAATTACTTCTACTTATGAGTTGTGTGTTTAAGTGTCAATAAATTGAGTTGCCAATCCAAACCCCATCTATAGCCATATATACTACATAAACTTATCTTTCATTTACATCTAGAGCAGGCATGTCCAACTTGAAACAGATTCTGATCGACTTTTAGTGTCAAAACTGCCAGTGATCTACCACCCCCTCCTATCATCATATCTCGCTTTAAGCAAAAATATTGGTAAAAATAACACGACGCATGATGTTTGTTGTAAAAGCAACTAGTAACTGGGCTGTGTCTCTGATGTATGTAGATTCATCCAGTTGGAGGGAGAAAGCAACACAATTGGAAACATCTTTCAGCAACTGTTCAGTTATGTTTCCACACATCATTTCTATTCGCTACACAATGGTGTTTCTTGATAAGTGAAGATCTCGAATAGGAGCTATGACCTCTTTCTTATTTTTAAATCCTTCAAAAAGAGTGTGAGCTACTTCAGAAAACAATCTTTTACAAATCACCTTCAGTGAAAGGTTTGCATTTTTTAATGATCAGATTGCTGACCGTGAAGTATGATTTGGTTGCATTGTTATAAAGTGACTTTGGTTTTGCCATCAACTGTTGTTGAGCAGCTAATTTCAATATAAGTTCATTGAGCTTAACTTTACAAACTTCACTTTTTGTTGGAAAATCATCATCATACTTACTGCTATGGAGAGCATTTTAATGACATTCCAGATTAACATTTTTTGGCAAGGATACTGAGGCATTGCATTTTCCACTATATCGAAGTAACAGTTTTATCTGACACACGTACACAGACGCTTTCGAAATTAATAAAATAACGTGGGAAGAGCACTTACTGTCCCTTTGATTACACTGGGTTCATCCCTAAACTCTATATTTGTTTAATGCACAGCAAAGCGACAAATCTCCACTAATAACTAATATAATACGTCTCACTTGTTAGTTCAACGTACGGGGATTCACAGTTGACTGGAGGGAGGGAACGAAGTGAATCAAACGTTCTGTCAGTCACTCTTGCATCAGAACACACATGGCTGATGACGAGTGATGACATAAGAGTTCACATGATAAGGATGGAGTAGGGACTTCCCCACAGTTCACTTATCAAAGTGTAAAGCAATTTTCATGTAAGCTACATAAGAATAGAGAAATAGGAATGACTAATACGTATTTTTCCTTCAAAATCTGAATATAATCATATTATATTACAAGTGAATTTACGCGCTTTTCACGTATAATTTCCTTATAGGCCTATGAGATCGACCAAAAATCGTCCCGCGATCGACATGTTGGACATGCCTGATCTAGAGGACTGTTTATTTCAGCTCTTCCACTCATAATTTTTATGTGAATTTTTTCTTTCATATATCATAAAACATCTTGCCTTTCTCAGCCTTCATATAATGACGACAATTTTGAATGGGTATTTTCAATTGCCAAAAACAAAATGCCAACAATAAAATGGAATGTTTACATATTATATAATGTGAACATGCTTTGACTAAGCCTTAAACTAACTTGCCTGAAATTTTGGTTAATGCCAAAAACAAAATGCCACGAATAAATTGCAATGTGAACATGTTATACTTCATGGCAATATCCTTCCTTGTCTCCAAATTTGAAAAGGAAAGAAACATTCCTCATCCCAATCAACATTCACAAATATGAAGTAAATACATACATTTTTATATAAATATACCCATAATATAATTGCAGTTCCTTAAAGAATCATGGGGGGGGAACACTGCCCACACCTCAGAGGATGGTAAACATCATCTCAATCTCCCATTTTAACAGAAGAGGCACAGAGACACAAACCTTAATGGTTCAAGATTGTACATATTAAGAATATTAATAATATACTATTAACTTAAACATATTTTTAACTTTAATAATTACAAAATGTTTATACAAAATTTTAAGCATATGTACTACGATTTATGTAATAGTAGTTCCTTCGCATGTTGTTACTGCCTTCTGAAGATGGTCATGACAGACCAAAATATGTAAAGGCACTATATAAATATATACTGAGACACACTGGATGGTGTTGTCAATTCATTTGATAATAACACAAACTTCTTGAAATGCTCCTATGGCTGTCTTTAAAGTGGTACAAAAATTGCTACACACATGAAACCACAATGACAAACTTCTGATAGTGGTTACTTAAGAATGGGGAGGTGCTTGTTCTTGCACTTCTGTAAGTTTGTGCGCTTCATCTTACCCAAAAACTGTCACTAATTGTATCATGTATACCGTCAGAATATTTCCACTGCTGTGCATCGTAAATATTGTTTCACCATACATAAAGATAAAGAAAGAAATTAATCTCATGTATACAATTTTGAGTTTTAGAAGTACAGTCAACTCTCGATTATCCGGGGGCGGATTAACCGGTTTGCGGCTTAACCGGGGCTTTTTTTTTTAAGTTTATATGTTGTTTAATATTCATTCACTTTTGTTTCACATGGTGAGTTTAACACTATTTTCGCACTAGTGTGAACCGAGCTCTGCATTATTTCGTCCCGTTATGCGAACACAATGTTCTAGGGTGGGGGTGAAAGAATGCAAGAATTTTTGGAAAGTTTCAAGGACAAATACACCGCCCCAGGTTATTTAACGGTACCATCTCAGTGTGAGAGTGCATTGTGAAAGTAAGTATCAGTTTCTTAATATAGATCTTCAAGTGCGTTAGCAAAATGTCGGGGTTTAAAAGGAAGCGTGTTGTGTTAAGTATTCAACAGAAACTTGAAATTATCAATCAGCTGGAAAAAGGAGCTGTAGTTAAACAATTAGCAATGCAATACGGTATTGGAGAACAAACTGTTCGTGATTTGAAAAAACAAAAGAATGAGTTAATTTCCTTTGCTTCGTCTTCTAATTCAAGCGGAATGAAGAAGAGAAAAACCATGAAGAAATCAACATACGATGATCTCGACAAAGCGATGCTGACCTGGTTTAATCAACTAAGGGCACAGGGAACAACAATAACAGGACCAGTTTGTGCTAAACAAGCTAAATATTTTTTCGAAGCACTTGAACTAGAAGGGAGTTTTGACGCTTCTTCCGGTTGGCTAACACGTTTCAAGCAGCGTCATGGAATACGAGAAATCAGTATTCAAGGTGAGAAATTGTCAGGGGACTTGTCAGCATCAGATCAATTTTGCACCAATTTTGATAGTTTTGTGAAAAGTGAAAATCTGCTGCCAGAACAAATCTATAATGCCGATGAAACGGGTCTTTATTGGAAATGCTTGCCAACCAGAACATTGGCATTTCAAAATGAAAGACAGGCTCCAGGTCACAAATCCAGTAAGGAGAGATTGACAGTCTTGTGCTGTTCTAATGCATCAGGAACACACAAACTAATACCAGTAGTTATCGGCAAAGCGAAAAGACCACGCTCTTTTAAAGGAACAGTAGCTTCAAGTCTGCCTATCCATTATTTTAACCAGAAAGTAGCTTGGATGAATAGAGCGATATTTAAAGAATGGTTTGATTTTAAATTCGTGCCTCAAGTTCGTGACCATCTAAAATCCCAAGGCCTACCTGAGAAAGCTGTGCTCCTCATTGACAATGCGCCCTCACATCCTAACGAAAGTCTCCTGAGGTCAGATGATGGAAATATTTTTGTGAAATATTTTCCCGCTAATGTTACCGCACTTATCCAACCAATGGATCAAGGAGTTATCTCAAGTATGAAGAGAATCTACAGATCAAATTTGCTACAAAAGTACATCGATGAAGGCAATGATCTGACGTGTTTCTGGAAGTCCTTTTCAGTATTAGATGCCATATACGAGATTTCAACAGCGTGGGATACAGTAAAGCCATCTGTATTGAAAAATTCATGGAAGAAACTGATGCCTTTCATCACTAATGAAGATGACGAAATCCATGGATTCACTGGATTCAGTGAAAATGAGATAGCCATAAAATTGACAAAAGTGGCTAACCAAGTTCATGGTGGTGAAGAAGTCAACGAGGAAAATATAAGAGAGTGGTTTAACTGTGACTCGTGTGAACCGGGCTTCGAAATGTTAAGCAGTGACGAAATCGTAACTTCAATGGGGGTGCAGCCAGAAGAGCGGGAAGAAAGTGAGAATGAGGAAGAGGTGGACAGTGTTGCCAGTAAGAAAGTATCACATGGTGCTGCGCTTAATCATTTGGAATCCTTACTAGACTATCTTGAGAGTGAAGAGGACAGTTTATTAAGTGACAAGCTAATATTACGTAGGCTTCGTACGGATATCCGTAAAAAGGAAAATGCCGCGAAAAAGCAAAAGACAGTATTAAATTATTTTAAGTGTTAAGTGTGACCGTAAAAAGTGCTGGATGTTGTTGAACAGTGATTGAAATAACTAATTCATACTGAGTGTAATGTAAAGAAAGTATTAAATAGGCCATGAGATGACATAGAAATGAGGATGAATAAATTTAAATACAGGTAGGTCTATAGTATTATGAAGGTATTAAAAGGTAAAAGGTAAAGTTGTTCCTCTGCTCAACGAATTAAGCCCTACGCCATTAAGGCGTGTGGGGGAGTGGATGTATAGATCCAAATTTTCTTGACCTCGGCACTAGTTGGAGGTGAGTGGTCAGCTTCACGCCCCGGCCGCTTTACCCCCGGGGAAAGAGCCCCCGGTACCCATTGGATAGGAGGTTGGATGGACCCCAGAGCCGGTCTGGACGATTTGGAGAAGTTAAAATTCTTGACCCTACCGGGACTCGAACTCCGACCCTTCACAGTCGTCCAGCCCGTATAATAAAATTTGGCTTAACCGGGTTTTCGATTAACCGTGACTTCCATCCCCACCATTAGCCCGGATAATCGAGAGTTGACTGTATGAAGAAATAATGTTTATGCATGCAGTGACATCTAGAATCTTTCATATAAATGAACACCAGATAACATACAGGTGGAGAAGTTCTTTAAGTAGCAGTTAAAGTGACCCTGTATCTTGCAAAAGTTTGTGTTTACCTTGTTCTGTCCACTGTGTATATTGTCAGAACTGTAGTTGGAATCATTACTGGAAGGAGAGGTGGTAGTCCCACTGCTGCTTGAGCTGCTGTCAATACTCAGGAGATCTGTGATCCCATTCCGTGACATATACTCTTCAACGTCACTCTAAAAAATGAACCGTCAAATTTAAAGAAATTCACAGACAGGCATACCACATGAGATCCTTATCTTATTTTTCCTGCACAGATTATGTTCAAACATGTTCTGATTTCACAGCCATCTTCTGGTTTGTACTAAAGGGAAAGTTTTGAAGTCTCTTGCTGCCCATCCTTTGTGGATTAATCTTAATCCTCCTAGTAATCTATTCCCTTACTAAACAAATAAATTATTAGATTCTCCAATCCAACTTCCTTTTTAATTTTATTTTATCTCACAAATCTCTTTGACAGTTATTAAAAATGTCATTACACTGCTTCAATTTTACAAACATTTTCGTTGTTACCTAATTTTCATTTCACTTAAAAGAGTAAGAACTTCAATCAGTCTGTAAAATGTAAACGGCATCTCAAACTAAATCCCTTGGTACTGTGGCCTCAGGCCCACTGTACGAGCCCCAGATGATAGAAGAGTGTGAAGGGCTGGTGGAATAATAATCAGCAGGGAAAAACTGAACTGCCCACAGAAAAACCTCTTGCAGGACCACTTCTGCTCATTACCTTAATGTTGTGTTTATCAGCCCATAAATTCCTTCAGGCTTATTTACATCATAATCAGTTTTACAGGAAATGTCACATCCAAATGAGTTAAAAATCTGAAATCTGTTGTAGGAATCATTTTAAAAGAATTATACTGTAATGGATTATGTGATTTCTTTAAAAATCTACGATTTTTTTAATAATGACATAATTAATTAGGCCCACTTTCCTACATATGGTTCAATTCACATGGCAAAACTAGAGACTAGTAATACCAATCTTCATTTCTGCATCTTACACATGATAATAATTTATTAAAGTTGTAAAATGTTTAAGCAGACTAAAATGTTCTTACCACCTGTCTATGGTATGTCACCCAGGGCAAATGCATGACCATTGATCAGAACTTTCCCAAGTAGCTACTCACCTGTCCCTTGATCTGTGCAATGTCGCTCAGTCTCTGCCGCAGCATCGAGTTCTCCGATTCCAGTCGCTTTACCTTCTGCTGGAGCAACATGAGCCGGCGCTGTACTTCCAAATCCTTGCCTGATGTCTCCAAGAATCGTCGGTATGCCAAGTCAAATGCCTGTCCAATTGTCAGTGTGATCTCTTCAGCCTATAATCACCACATTAAAAACCATACAGTCGTAAATGTCAGGAATTCCCACTTGTCACTTATTTCTGTATTGCAGGACAACCATAGCTTGATTCCTGGTAAGATGATGGAATTTTCTGTTTATAGCCATAGAATCCACACACACATCCTGCAGACCACCATGCCTCCTATTCAACAGGCACTGGGATCTCTTTACCCAGCCACAAAAGCTGCCAGAGAGCAAAGTTGATCACTCAACTCCATCCTGTACTGAGAAGAATACATGGCCCAGTGTACATATTGTATGATACATGTACTTAAGAACACAGACAATATTGCTTTTACCTTTTCAACACTGAAAGCATAAAGTGGTGCAAACAAGTATTGAAAACTACTCATACATACTTGGAATTGCTCTTAAAATATGCCATTTAATGTTACAAGAATATGGAAATATTACCATACACCATTTAGATACCAACTTATCACTACTGCTACTGGCGATACAATTTTCTTATACTAGATCCTGAAGGTTCAAAACCACCAGTGCCAAGACCTGAAACTGGACATGATTCTGAAAGAATTCCATTCTCTTTCCACTGTCAAAACTTATTTCCCTAACATACATCTTAATATATTAACATCCCATCTCATCCTTGGTCTTTCAAGTGACTGCATTTCTATATAAATTTTAAGATGATCTAGCCTTAGATTCAGAAAAACTGTTCATCCATTGAGACATATTATTATGATCTATCCAACTCAATCATACATTAGAAAAAACCAAAAAAAGGTGTGATCTACTTTCCTTTAATGTTTCAATCTATATGGCTAGTTTACCAAGAACTATAATCAAACAATTATATACAATTTAAAAATTCATCTCTGTGCATGATTTACACTGGTACAGAATCTATGTTAAATTAGCTTACCATTTCCTTCTTGCTACTGCTTCGTTGGCATATCTTCAACTCTGAAGATAAAACAGTACATTCCTCCAAAATCAGTGAACTCCTAGCAGACTACTGATTCACACTACCGCACTACTAACACCCAAAGAAAAGCTTCAGAACTTAATTTCCCATCATAAAACTGAAAGTTCTTTCTACCATATTTTCCTTTTGCATATTACATCTTCCACTATGAAATGTACCTTTTGTCACCACCTCAGTAGTAAGATCAAACTGGTTTCCCCAAATACTTACCAGTTTGTCACTAACGAACACAAAGCACATGTGTCTCTCTGAGTCAGCCTCCTTAGCAATGAAGCTGAAGAATCTCTTTTCCCCCTTGTCATCAGCACAATATGATATGCGATGCAGTGGATATTGGTGCATGATGCGCTGCAGAAGAAATCAACCAAGTACTGATAATCTTGTGAAACATTTCTAACTAGGTGTAAACAAAACAAAGCTATGAAGAAAGCAGTCTTCTGGGATTTGGCACCGTTGGCAGGGTTGACTTCAACCCTGAAGATGGGGGCGATACGTTCCTCCGAAACGTCGGTTAACACCACATATACACGGTGCCAAATCCCAGAAGACTGCTTTCTTCATAGTCACCGCCGTGAAAGCCTCAAATCTTACAAAACAAAGCTATCTGCACCACCAATGAGACATGTGCTCTGTACAGCCCCTGTATGGCCAAATTTGTCTTAATTGTGTGAAGACTCGTTATTTAGACTACAGGACTATTACTACGTATTTAGACCAAACAGTGGAATACCTACTGGAAAATCTATGGGAAATTTGAAAATTTCCATCTCTAGTATGATTTCCATAGGCAAACCTATCCAATGATCCACTCCCACACTCTCCAGCACTCAAAAGCTTTGCAATGATGACTTCTCTGATAAGAATGCTATGGACTTCCAAAAAATGGCTTGATAGAATAAGTATAACAGCCTAGAAGTATCTCTTTTTGGGGGGGGGGATTAACACTAATACTGACTAGTAACAATGCTGTTAAATTGGAAATGTCACCTTAAATATGTCAGTACGTTGTTTCACAACACATTTCTATCTGTTATGATGACACAAATATGCAAAAGTTGATACAAAGCTATGATTCTGGTACATAAAAAGAGACCACAAGGAGTCAAGAAAATTACAAAGCTATAAAATTATAAAGATGACGTCCCTGTGCTTAATTATGCACCACACAATTAAGATATATTGGGTAATGGAGGTAGAGATTATATTAACTAATTTAATGCTGGTATGCTGGCTATGAAGTCTGTGCTAAAGTAAAAGAAACCAACAGAATAATACATTAAAAAATTGGAGAACAAAATGGATTGTGCAAAGAATGATCCTGTTATGATGCATATTTGTCTCTGAAGCTCATCATTACACAAAACAGAGAATTTAATACTGAAACCCACACAATCTTCACAGACTACAGAAAGCATCTGATAAAGTCAAGAGAAACAAATTAATGGAAATTACTAGAGAAGATAAACATACCCAATCAAATAACGACAGAAATTTACAAAAAAAAAAAAAAAGTTTTGAAACCATTTTTTAAATCTCATTCAGAAACTCTGAAATGTGTTAGTAACATGCTGCCTGAGATACCGGTTTCATATACAAATATGACACCATAAAAGTATCTGAAACATTTGAACATTATAATAGGGTCATAGAAGGCAGTGGGAAACAGTCACTTTATAAATGAAGGCTTTGTTGTGGCTTTTTGTGAAAAGCGCAGTTTTCTGACATTTTAATTTATTATTCAGAGAGCTTATTAACATTTAAAAACTGTCACCAGAAGCAACATTACAGTGAGTGGGTAGGTAAAGACAACAATAACTAACTTCAACTATGAGAAGTACTTTCTAGGCTGTAATGCTGTACAGTCTCAAGTTCACTGGGATGAACATGCTGCATCCATCTGCTTGGTTGAAAAATTAACCAAGCAAGTAAATTTCTATAGGACGAGACAATGTTATATCTCACGAGTTATCACTCTTCACAGACACCAAAGTGTGAACCTCAAATCTCACATCTTTACCATGGGCTGGAAGTGTCTTATTCTTCCAGTTTTAACTCAAAATGTCCCAAAATGGGCTTAAATGTAACTAAATGCTGCTACCTCAGAAATGACGAATTCATAATAAACATCTAATTCAGCAAGAAAAAATCCAGCAATATGCGGCAACATACTACACAAATATACACTGAGGTTCCTTCTGTTTTCTTTGTCAGCACTGTGTCCAGGCCAGATACAGAACCCAACTTGCTCTGATCACATAAGTACTAGGGACTCTCACTTTCGAGTAAAGTGGCTGGGGAACGAAGCTGACCATGCAGTCATCTAGTGCTGAAGTGTGTGGAGCTACACTCCTAATGCCTACATGGTGTGGCAGCTATGCAATTACACTGTATGCACTTGGACAGTACCTTTGTCTTCGGTTCCTGTATTGCAACTCCATCTATACTGATGGTGAGTTCTACTTTAGGCGTCTTGTTTCCTTCTGCTTTCCGCAGCTGCTGGTTGAATTTCAGTTTACGGATCCCTTCCTTCACCACCTCAATACCCTTTGGCTGGTCCACTTCTGTATTCCCTAGAAACTGTAAAGAAACAAAAAATAATTTAAAATTTGTTTGGAAATACAAGCAGTACCATCATGAACAGGTGTACACAGGTCAGTGCTGTTATGTATCACACCTGATATGTAGCTGTGACTTCCCTTGATTAAGCTGAAAGTTACACAAGCAATTGTCAATGCATGTCATTCATTGAACCTGTTGTGTTACTGGCACAATAACATCAATCCTGGAATTCTATATTCAGCCACTGTATTTCATTTTAGTGTACACTCACATAGCCTTCTATGTGATGTGATGCTATGCTATCTGCATGATGAAAACAAACATGTTCACAGTACCTGGGTGTTAAGACTGCATGCTACTACAAGCAACGCTAAGCTATTACTAGCACCCAGAAGCTGTGACAGTTTGAATGCAAGCATGTTTGTATTCTCTGCTAGTCATAAATCAACTTGCAATGATAATTGATATGGAAAAATTAATAAATTCAGTGTGAATTCGGTCTCCACTATTTGACCAATGTACCAACAATCATAATAACAGGGAAACAACTAATAAGTTATAAGAGGAAAAGGCTAAAGAACTGAAATGTTTCATGTCAGCAGAATTATCGTTTATTTCCAGTTCATTTACTGATATACCAAAGTCTGGGAATGCAACATCATGAAATAAAAGACATCTGTCTGTATCTGGATAAATTTTCACTAAAAATACATTACAGTCCATCAGTCACAAATATCGGTTATTACTTATTAGGTAATGGTTTGTTACTGAAGCAATTTTGAGAATATTTGACTGATAGGCTCAATTTATTCATTTATTATTTACTTCAAATATAGGATGATATATGGTAGAATTTGCAGCATCACTGGAAAATTAATTGTTTTGTGGTCAATTACAATGTTATGAAGTAAACACATGCACGGTATGATTATTTCCGCTGTACTGCGACTTGTTCCTACAGCTTTATTCAGTATTTTCCATTTTGTATGAAGTACATCACACGCGCATTCCGCACATCATCTAGGCCGAGATAGCTAAAGGTAAAGCTGTCCTTGTGCTTATCTAATTAAGCCCTATGCCATGAAGACGTGTGGGGGAGTGGATGTAGCGATCCACATATTCTCGATCTCAGCACTAGTTGGAGGTGAGTTGACAGTTTATTCCCGGTATCCATTGGATAGAAGGCTTGATGGGCCCCAAAACTGGTCTGGATAAGGAGAAGAGAAAAATCTCGCCCCTATCTGCACTCGAACTCCGAATCCTTGCCATCCAGCCCGTAACCAGTTCCTATACCGACTGCATTATCCTGGTCCCTAACCTCAAGACAGAAGGGAATTAAAATCAACCTGTTCCACAGCGCATGTAGCCTGTTATCTGACCAAATAAAAAGAAAAATATGTCTATATATGAAGTGGTTTTTCATTTGACAAATTAAGTTCTAATTTTGTAGTAAAACATATGTTCCAGAAGAACTAAAGGTTCCACCACTGCTATGTTTACCATGTGCTCCACTTCTGTACTTATGAATTTATAGTTGGCATCTGGTACAGCTTGTAAAACAATGGAGCACCACTGTTCATAGCTACAGAACATGAAGCCAGACTGCGTGGGATGTTCGATCCTGACAAACTTCAAATCAACAGAACCTGCACAGTTTGGCATAGTCCACTTTTCCCAGTACTGAGTGGTAATGTCTAACAACAACCTTCAAAGCAGATTCTAAAGGGTTCTGATGACGGGGGATGATACACAGAATTACTGGGTTTTTGGACTTTTTCCATCGTTCGGAATTCTTGTTAATAGAGGGCACTCTAGGTGATAGAGGACATGACGTTTCGGAAACTGGATCTGTTTCCGTCTTCAGGTGAGATCACTGGTCCAGTGACTGAGATTAGCTCTTTCTAAGGGGCCCATCTGAGTAGGTGTCTTCCTTTCTCGCCTGAAAACGGAAACAGATCTAGTTTCCGAAAATTCGTGTCCTCTATTACCTAGAATTCCGGATGATGGAAAAAGTCCAAAAACCCAGTAATTCTGTGAGTAACCTTCCAGGTGGTAAGTAAAGTAAAGTAAGGTAAAGCTATCCCTGTAACAGGCCGTGGTGGCCCATAGGGTGGTGAGACGTTGATCTAGACAATCGGCTCAAAGCTGGCGGTAAGGTTGTCAGCCTTACGCGCCGGCCGCGCTTTACTCCCCACGAAAATTATTTAATTAATTCCTGGTACTCATTTCTGTTAGAGGCTGAGTGAACCCCAGGGCCTAGTGCGGCTGGAAGAATTAGGTCAACTGAAAAGAATCCAGTGACCTCATCGGGACTTGAACCCGCGACCTTCCGGCCTGTAGCATAGCCCCTCAACCAACTACGCTACCGCGTGCCCCCAACCTTCCAGGTGGTACAAGCCACAATTCGCAACAAAAGCTTCCCAAACTGAAGCACACACTTCTTGCACCATGTACGCCAAGTATGAACTTCGGAAGTTCGTGTACTGGCAGTAAGAACTTGTAGGCGGCTTGTTCTGTTTCTCATGCTCAATTTCCGGACACTGATCCTGAAGCTTCTTCACTTTCACCGGCCACAGCAATTTTTGTGGAACACCATCTCTAACTACAGTTCCTAGGACCTTCGTTACACAGGCTTTCACAAGCCTGAAACATTAACGAAAATACGCGTTCTCTGTATAAAGTGAACGTATACGGGTGAAATAGTGTCAAAGCCAGTCAGGTATGTAACATAGCGAAAAGCACCTCTGGAAAAGCAATTTACGTGTACTCCATTAGTGTCTCATTTTCACTCATTAGCCTGTAAATACATTTAATTACAAAACGGTGACATGCTGTGCAATTAGGCGGCAGTCCTCGTTTCGAACGCTTTATAAACGCGCTTTTCGTCATAATTATCATCATTTACTGCTGACACTATGCTCATAACTATCCTACCTCCACAGAAGTCTGACGCGGGGTAAGCTTCTGAACTCGACACCACGTTCTGTCGGTTTCTCAGGGAACTGTCCATAGTCTGGAAGCACAACTGCTCATTGGACCTCATCCTTTAGCCTACTTTCCTAATTCAAAAAGAAAGTGAGACATGGTACCACTAAATTAGGAATGAATGCCATGCCATTAGGGGTTACTCCACGACCGTACTTGAATTCCTTATCAACAAACAACACGGCGGATGTCGCGATATTTCTTCTGTGGTACTAATTCGTCTGCAAGCTGATGGATTTAAAAAATATATATATAACGTTCTTAGGGCAATTTTTGTGTAAAGGTAAAGTTCCCCCCAGAGGTGTCTCCACCTTGTCATAGTGGTTGGGCTTGCGTGACTCTGTAGTTTAACTACCGGTAGTCACCCATGCCGGAAAGGTCAAAGGGTAGAGTCCAGACTAAGAGAGATACCCTGGTCCTCCAGGTTTGGGGCTGGACATGAGGCTAACAACCTCATCCTGTAAAAGAGAATGTTCAGAAACCTAACAACCAGCCTCAGATAAGTGGAACATATGGGAAACGGACAAAGCAAAGGACAAGGAACAATGATATTGTGACGGCAACTTGGAATGTATGCACAATGCTGCAACCCGGAAAGAAACCCAGGATGGGGTGGCCAGACGATGTTGAGAACAACCTGAAGAAGATGAAGGTGAAAGGATGGATAGAGATGAGGAATAGAGAGCAGTGGAGACTGGTTGTAGAGGAGGCTAGGGCTCACCCAGGGCTGTAGGTAGGCAAGGATAAAGTTGTCTCTGTGCTTAATTCATTAAGCATCACGACACGATAACGTATGGGGAAATGAAAGAACTGTTTCCCTCATTCTTAACATCGATACTTGATGGAGGTGAGTGTCTAGCGTCAAACAGCGCTGCTGTAACTGGTGAACCATGAAATATCCAAACCCTGAAATAGTATTTTTAGTCTCTCCCAAACCCTTAAGTTTAAACCTGTTTTCGCCAAGTATGAATCTCGTCATCTTTTGTGTGGTATTCTAGGATTATTTCTCTCTTTAAGAGTATCAGTCATGCTCCCTAAACCTTATACGGTGGTTCTGAAACCCTTTAAAGTGCTCTCTGTTTCTTCATAACCGGTTGCTATAATGTAAAAGTGATCTATTCGCCGATTGGCAACATTTAATGCATAAAAGCGATGAAGTACAATCCTTCTCAAGAACCTAATATTCGCTCAGCTAGGTAAGAAATCACAATTCTTCCATGAAACTCTAAAGGAACATTACCACGCTCAAACACATCCCGCTACTGAAATCTATCCTTAGACATGTTAGGTTCCAAATATTCTTTTTTGCCTGTGCAACATTTCCCAACATTCTAGCTTTTCACTGTACGCGGCTAGCAGCCGCCGGTCAAATTTCCTATCTGAGGACCACCCCTTTGCAACCGACTGCGACTGCTTGTTCAATTTATCTGCAGCTACGTTTCACAAGAGTACGAAATGAATGTTCTATTAAAGATATGACTTCATGTCCATTTCACTGCAACTTTAATACTAGTAATCAAAATTAATTTAAGCATTCGAACAGTCCCAGGGGACTATCATAAAGTTCGCGACACTTCACAGTTTTACCGTTAATAATTGGAAGACGCAAATGTGCAGATGTTTCTTTTTAAAGCTGATGCTGTTTGGCCTAATATTCCCACCTTTCGAATGTCAGAAATATTATTGCTCAGCTTGCACTGCGGGTCTCTGCAATGAATCCAGAGATCACTCCCTCGATATATTTCGTTAAGTTTTCCTCAGGCCGTAATTATTAGTTGGGGCTGACTCTCATCCGCTATAATTAATTTCACTACTAAATACCAATATACTATTTTAACTATTTTATATATATACTACGTATATGCACTCCTACATCACCGAAATTGTCGATGTCCTAAACGAATTGCCTTAGTACTGTTCGTCTTAAAACCCCGAACAAACGATCACTATATGGCATTCTTTACGACGAAGCTAATTGTAAGAGGATGGAGGAGTAAAGATAAAGCTGTCCCTGTGTTCAAAAAAATTAAGCA